TTTTTCTGTGATTTCGTGGTTGGGGGGGGGTGAGATCACGACAAATAAGCCCTACATGTATAACACTAAAATGTTCAGTTTTAGTAACTTTGAATTTATAGGTGTAAAAAGTGTAACTAACCAGTAAGTGGATTATTTTACCTCTGTTTGCCTGTGTAACATTTCGTCTGTCAATCAGGGAATGAATTAGTCTTTGTGTAAGCCAATAGCGAGTACCTATCCAACAATTAAATGGAATGTTTTTAATAACTGCTTTACATAAATTTTCAAGCAGATCATCAAGTTCATTACACTTGCGTTACAAGACTTTGGTTTCAGATTACTAATACTTTGAGCTATGTTAAGTACCAAGTGATGATAGGAATAACGTTTCAAAATACTATAAAATAAAAAAAGATTCATTCTTTTAGAATACATTTTGATGCATATAAATTATCTTGGAAGTAAAGTGTAGGATAAGTAAACTCTTGTTGTTGAGATGAAAAGAGATTTCTCTTGTGGTTCTACAATTATTTATTCAAATTGGCCAGGTTCAAGGCAAAGTGAGTTATTCAAAATTATAACATGTGAACCTAGGATTATTTGTAATATAAAATAAAATAAAACCGTTAGTGTTGGGATAACTAATAGAAGTGTTAACTTGAATCAGTTTATAAGTGCAATGAAATTGTGAGATAAATGATCAGAATAAATATGGTCGACATATGGTGAGAGGGAGATTAATGTAATTACAAATCAGAAATTACATAATATGTGGAATAATATTAACTAATCAAGAATTAACAAATAGGGGTGGATGCTAAATAAATGTCTCAACAACGTTGATGGGTGTCATAATTATAACGATTGACTCATGATTTCAACCTGTGAAATTTCCTAAAAATCTCCACAAAACTCATTCTGATAATAAACAATTGCTCACTAGTGACTGGCTTCAGGAGAAACTCCTGGAGTTCTAGTGAGAAGCCGTCACCAGTGGAGTTCAACCAGGTCTGTTGTGAGATATCGGCTCACTGAAGACAATGATGTTCGGTGGCGCAACTACGTGGATTGGTTGAAGTTAGACATTAACACCATCGGATGCCGGCTCAGTGGTCTAATGGTTAAGTGCTCACGCGCGAAGCCAGTAGGTCCTGGGTTCGAATCTCGCGGGGTGCGGGATCGTGGGTGCGCACTGCTGAGTAGTCCCATACTGGGAAGAAACGGTCGTCCAGTGCTTCCAGGTTTTCCATGGTGGTCTAGCTCCAATTGACTCATGATTTCAACCTGTGAAATCTAAAAATCTCCACAAAACTCATACTGATGATAACACTAATATTAAAAAAATATGTGTGAATAAGTCTAAGCTATAAATTGAACATTAATCAAATTAAGTCATCATGTCGTAAAAATGATTATTAACTAAGGTGACTAAAATTTGGTCAAGGTAAAAGGAGAGGTTAAGGTTTCCTCTTAAATTGCATCCAGGGTGCATACGGTCTTGACTCTATAATGAAGTGGTCTATTAATCAGGTTCCTTTTATAATGTAGAGGAACACAACTACAAAAATTTGTATGTTAATTAGTTTCTTCTTAGTGACCTATAAATCCTCCTTGTAGGTTGAACATCTAGAAAGGCTATTCTACCTCTATTTTCTTCCTCATATTTGAACTTTATAGACGAATGAACTTCATTAAATCTCTCGAGTGTTTCTATCAGGTCAGTATGGTCGTTAGAAAGGATGAACATTTCGTCTATACCTCGTCAGCAAAATGAAAATTTATCGATCTGCCATTCCAGTTGACCATTTTCTAGTTTAGTGAGGAAAAAATTGTCCGGAAACCAATATAGAACCTTGTATTGAAATTAACGCTACACCATTTATTTGCCTATATATTTCACCATTGAATTTGAAGTTCACCTTCATAATGCATTTTAGTAATATTCTCTTGATGGTGTCCATAGGGATTGTAGTCTCTATTTCCTATTCTCTGAGTTGTTTACAGATATATTTTACAGTTTCCCTGAAGGCACATTTATAAACAATGATTTTACGTCTAAGAAAATCACCGTTTGTCCTTTGGTGTTTATAATTTTGAGCTTGTCGACAAACTGGAATACATACTTAATAGGTGTTTGTGGAATGGTTTTAGAACGGTTACTAACCAATTTGCCACGGTATGATAAAGGGAATTTCGCGCGTTCAAAATTAGACTCCATGGAATATCGGGTTTGTGTACCTTCGGTAGTCTATATAACCTAGGTAAATGGATACCTATCGACCTAATTGTTTCGTAAATGTTCGATGAAATTACCTGTTGATCTCTGAGCTTTTTTAAAGATCTAGTCAGCTCATTCCCTATCTTATCACTGACGTCATTTTCATCATTACGTTTCTGCAGTTTGGGATGATCAGCTAAAATGTTATTCATCACGTAAATATAGTTTTTGTTGTTCATTAGGTCAGTTCCTGTTCTTTTATCAGGTTTTGTAATAATCAAATTTTTTGTCATTATTAAGTCCATTGATAGCCTCCTTATGTTTTTTTAGTTAAAATGCTTCTGTGGTTCTATCTACTATTCTTAAACTGATATTTGCGTTAGAAACAATCCTAAATTTACATGTTGTAGTTTTAAATGATATACTTTGCATTAAACCTAGCCAAGTTTTTAGATTATCAGTTTCTTCGTTCATATATCTGTGTTGTATAATATTGAGAATTTTTAGCGAGAAAAAGATTTTTACAAAATACTGTCATAGAAGTGTTACAAGCAGTAGATTAATAATCATTTTTCTGTAACCAACAATCTGATAGTTTTCCTTCACTAATTACTTATAAATATTTCTTATGCTTAAGATACTTATACTGTTTTGTGACTCATTAAATTCAATTCGTATATGTGAATTCCTTGTGTTAATCTTCCAAATGATACTTCTGTTTTGTTTATTCATTACTGGTTGTGAATATTGTTAACAATCTGTCTCAGTGTTTAATAAATTCTTGATATTACTAAGTATGAACTAACCATACGTTTCACATAGCTATGAACATCTCCTTAAGCAATATCAGTCTTATCTGTACATAGTATCAAATCTTTTTGGTCGTGTATTGTCTACTTTAACATCCAATTCCATAATCATGTGATCAGTAAATACGTATTTGGAGTTCAACCAACGTGTACATATACAGTCACATTTTTTTATTTTGTAAATGTTTTTCACTTATTATGATTCAAATCTTTCTTACCATCCAAAAGACATCAATGTCTAAATATGACTGGATGAACCTTTAATGTAGATTTGTTTTCAGACTTTGGATGTTCATCGATACCTTTATTTCTGATTGTAACTCTGTTCAGACAAGCTTTTTGGCTAAAACATTGTAGTTATTTGGATTTCTATCTCTAAGACTATTTCAAATATAATTGTTGCATAAGATTAATACCAGTTATGGTGAATAATTTTATTTTCTACTACAAAATTCATTTTGGATTCCACCGACAATAATTTATAAATCTAATTAACTAAAGCATATCTTACCAACATCTATTTTGAGCGGTCAACTTGGAAACCAAACTAAAATTAATAAATATCTTTTCTTTTTCAACGCAGTAGGAAATAAACTTCTCTTCTAATCATCTTATCGATAAACTATGAATCTTTATCGTTGTGGTTATTGAACATTATTATTGTGATTAAAGTATTTTTTCGTAACCATATTTCGTTGGTCTATTTTGTCATGATAACAAAAATTAAATAGCAATGATAATTAAAAGTAGAAATGTGAGTGTTTTCTTTATTAGCAAGTTGATTCAATACTTAATTGTTATAGCTTGAAGTACGATGTTTTCCTCAAGTATTACCATTGTATATTTCATTATTAAGAGGCAAATAACATTATGGTAGTTAAATTTTAATATTGTCCCAACTACGATTCACTGATCTTATGGAACGTTTTTTGATTCAGAACTGTACTATTCGGATAACTATCTTTAGGGAATGTACTTTGTACACTAACTAACTACCCAGTTGTTTAGTTCATTAGTCAAGTTGCTAGGTTGTCACTGGTTTAAGTAACTCAACATCAAAATCTTTATTTTGATTTCAGTTGCTTGTTGAGACTGACAATATTTGGCTGATTAAGGTAAATGTTTTCTTCCTACAAAATTTAAACAAGTGTCACTCAGTCGCAAAGTTTTATAAATCACCACTATGCTATTCAGATAATAGACAATAATTACATTTTTTCGCTTTATGACGTCACATGTAAAATGTTGCAGAAAAATTATGTAAGCTCCATTAAAATAGCTTACGATGCAATCTGATAATACGTAATCAGTTTTATGATTTACTAATGGATTTACAATGTTTTAAAATTACAAGGAAAATCTAATTCACCAATGTCATATTAGACATTAGTCAAAATTTTGACAGTATAATCTGAATGTCAAATGAAGTTGATGTTTTTTTTTCAATGTTCCAAATTTGTTACTTTACTAATGGATGCTGACATTCCATAAATTCTTAACTTAGAAAACGACTTTTGCTAATAAACCAGTATATTTTAAATTGAATTTACGCTTTCCGTAATCAATTGTATTTTTCTGTTTTTATGTTAAGTCTCAAAATTAGCTTAATGTGCATAGAAATTAAACATTTCGTAGTACATAATTTTATATAAATAGTCAGATGATTTAGTTGTTATGACGCTGTCTTTAATTTTACGTCGATAATTTTAATTTTAATCTTTACCACCATTATTACGACGACAAAGTTCTATAAAGGATGAATGTACTACTCAAATTTTACTAATAACCATTACTAAACTAGTCAAAAAATAACCAAATGAAGAAAAGGTGATTAAATAATTTCGAGCAGTTACATTTGTTGTAAATCTAAGGGTATAGTTTCATTTGCCAAAAGACTTGAGCGATCCCCCCCCCAGCTGCAAACACTTCTATATTTTGACTAACTTCATTTCATAGTATTTAGGACTTTCAAAGCAAAAATGAGTTTATTTGTTTACTGTATCACTGTATTTTAGACATGTTACAATAATGTACAAGTTGAAATGTATGTAAATACCAATATCAAGATTGTAATAATTTGACAAAACTCTGAAAGTAACTAACTGGTGTCTCAAAATTTACATAAAATGTAATTTTAGGAAGACATGTCATAAACGCAATCTAAAATCGAATAATAGTAAAGGGAAGAAGTGTACATTTATTAAGTTAGAAAATAAATAAAACAGATAATGAAGGAATGTATGAAAGGAAATGTTCCATACTGAATATTCTAGTCAAGTGATTACTTTAATCCTTAGATCCTACAACTTAAATAGACCAGTTGTAGATTAAACTAATATTACCTATAGTTCATTCAGTCACTACTATTACAGAAAAATAAACACTATGCATAACCATTGCACTTTTGTTTTGATAACGGAGTATATGTTTCATTTACGAAATCGGAATTACATTCATTTCTATTTAAACTGCTTGAATAGTGAAGATATTTATCTTGACTGCAACTTATATTTCCACGTTTACCGGTATCAAGTGTAGCTATAAAGTTATTTTGAACTGACTCTTTGAAATCATTTATTAATAATTCATTCTTACATTCTGTATTACTGTTAGGAAACGAACTATCTGTGAGTATATTTGCTGCATTTATATTAAAATATGTATTTGATGAAGAAAATGAAGTGTACATTTTATATGATGAAGTTCTTGAAATCTGTGATATGTTATTATTCCCAGAAGTATTATTGTTACTTTTGGCAGTTAAACTAATATCATATGATTTAGGTAATAAACAGTATGCGAGATCATCATTAAGTGAAAATGCTAAAGAACCATTATCATTTTTTAATTGATTAATGTTCAACTGTTCAATTCTTTTATTTGTCTGAAGATATGAATCAATAAAGTGATTAATTTCTACACAAATTGAACTAAAATCTGGTCTTTGGTCTGGATTACTATGCCAACATGAAGTCATTATTTGATATATATCAGAAGGACATATATTTGGTGATGGCAAACGGTAACCTTTCTCTAGCATTGTAATTACAGCCTGATTTGTCCAATTCCAGTAAGGTCTTTCACCTAAACTAAATAACTCCCAAGCGACGATACCAAATGACCATATATCACTGGCAAATGTGATTTTCCTGTACATTATAGCTTCGGGAGCCGTCCAACGTATGGGAACTTTACCTCCCTTGAAATAATAAAACAAAAATCATTTCAGATAGTTGAGATAACATAAATGCAGATTAAAATGACTCATGATTTTTTTATTTCATATTTGCAAAATTAATATTCGTTGAATCATAATTCGCAACTATCATCAGGTATGACTTTAAGCACAAATCAAACTACTGTTACAAAAGTTACCAGCTAAATACTTCATAAAATAGTCAAATTTAACAAGAGTTAATGCTGGTTATCCAAACTAAAAAACATTTTCTAAATTAACAAATGATATTATATAGCTAAATATATAGGGTCATCTTCAATGTGTAATTTCATCTACTGTAATCTAACTTCAGTTAATGTTAGACACATATGATGCAACTCCAGAACCTAAAGAAGACCAGGTTTTAGTTAAGATAATCAAGTTTCGAAAGATATCAGTGCTCTTATTAATAGAAACAATGATCGTAAAGTTGTTTTAATTAGCTCACCATTACTAATGTTAAAATCAGCCTAAATAAGAAAAGAACTATGTAGTCAAAGTCCTGAGTCTACAGCATAATACAGAAACTATTCTATTTTCCTATCTACAAAAATAAGGAGTTTTACAATTTACCTATTTAAATTTACCTTGACTTAACAGACAAATTGTAACATTATCGTTCCAACAATTTTAGTATAGTCAAGACTATAAGTAGCTAGAAAAAATTATATTCAAGTATCATTACATTAAAATCCACCAAGTGTATATGAAATTATGAATATTTCATACCAGAACAGTTATAATGAAAGGATCTACTGAAAGATGTAAATTTCGTACATATCTTAAAAGTTAAGATCGAAGCTATTAGTTCAAAATTACTTTTTTAGCTGAAATATTTCTCACTCTATTATTTGATCATTACCAAATAAGACTTACAGTGAACGTGTACGCATCTTCATCAGAATCTGAATTACATTTTCGGGTCAAACCAAAGTCAGACACTTTACAAATGTTAAACTTATCAACAAGTATATTACGGGCTGCCAAATCCTAAACCAGAAATGAAATAAATAGATACAGCTAGAATTCAATAGGCAATGAAATTACTAAAAATAATGTAAATAAAATACGAACCTGTTTCAAGCGTGATTTCATTGTCTAAATTTACCAAACTGAACAATATTTTTTTAGCAGCTGTTAATAATCAAAGATGGATGGTGGCTAGCAGTGGAATCCAGGACGCGCGTTTCGTCCTATTTAAGACTCTTCATCTGAATGTGCATGAACCTCGAAGTTGATGTTCACTCTGGGACTCGGACGCAGTGCCGTTCTTTTCGAATGCCATCGCGTTATTCACTTAGCTACTAAGTCCTGATAGGCAATATCGGGGCAATACACACAGTATGCACATATTCCACTGAGAGACTGATCAATTTCAGTCCCAAACATCAATGGAAAGATTCAAATAAACAATACCGAATGAATTATTAATGATATTCCATATTTCATTTAAGGATTTTATTAGGATAATTATATAACTGTCTAAAGAATTAATTTGACGGAAATTTTTCTATACTGACATCAATTAACATTTTTTGGAATACTTTTACACTGATAAGTCTAATTTAACAATGAATGGTAATTAGTTTACAGATGTATTATAATGAGAGATTTAAGTAATAAGGACTAAATATTGGATAATTGAAACAATGTACTCTCAAAGTAAACTTAAAATTTTTTTCTCGGATCATTACAACATCAAACTCTTAAAAATAATCATGACATTAAAGTATACAGCAAAAATGAATAAACTGATAACTAGTTCTGTCAACTTACTCTATGAACAAAGTTAAGATGAGAAAGATAATTCATACCACATGCAACATCTCTCAACATATACAATAATTGTTCCATGGATAGTGTATTTCCGTTGCGCTAAAAAATCAAAGAAAGTAAAATAAACAACATTTACAAAACTTTCAGGAAGAATCAGTTAATCTAATTAGATTTTACATTCATATCATAGATAGATATTCTTGTGCTTCATTGATCAAAACGTTTTTGGATAAAATAAATAAATGTGTGTAATAAGTGATTAACTTATAAATTAATTATTAATGTTTCCAATTAAAAAACATTCTAATTATACATAACAGTCTTTATTTATCTTCATTGTTGACAAGTGGGAATGAAACCAGTACAACACACTCATAAAACGATAAACCTATTAAATAAGAACAAAGTATTTTGTAAATTCCTGACTGCAACAACAAGGAATAAAGAATTAATTGATGCAGAATTACAGAAACTGTTTGTAAGAATCAGGTTAATACAGACATGGGATTAAGCATAACAATTGATACCACATATATATATATATATATATATATATATATTACAGTTTCTCCTGAAATGTTGACCAACTGGCAATGACAGTTTTGACTATATTGGCGACTTTGAAAATGTTTACAAATTTTATGTTATTATTCCACCCAAATCATTTCATGGAATTAGTTGAGTAAAATAATATCAAAGTAAAAATAGACAACGAGAAAATTATTTGGCTCATTGAATAATCAATAAAAAATAACAGTTGATATTAGTTTTACCAAGCGACACAAATAACATTTAGGAATTTTTATACATGAATCACATCAGAACAACTGGTTAATTGTACAGCCTGCATTAAAGTGAAAGCTCCCACGATAGACCTGTCTGATCATTTTAGACATCAGATGCATTAAAAACTGCACTGATTAATTGTTAATTATTATCAGTAAGTGTGTTTGTGGAGATTGTAGTAATTTTAAGGTTGAATTCGTGAGTTGACTAAAGCCAGACCACTATTGAAAACCTGGAAGCACTGGAAGGCCGTTTCGCCCATTGTGGGTCTCCTCAGAAGTGCACATACACGATTCCGCACACGGGATTCTAACTCGGGACCTTCACTCTCTCTTAGGTGAACGTTTAATCTCTAAACCACTGAGCCGGCACCCAACGGCGTTAATGTCTAACTTTAACCAATCCACGAAATTGAGCCACCGTCCACCATTGTCTTCAGTGAATAACTCTCTCATGACAGACACAGCTGAATTCTACTAGTCACGGCTTCTCACTAGAACTCCAGAAAATACCTCTTGAAGGCGATCACTAGTGAACATATGACGATTATTATCAGAATGAGGATCGTAGAGACTGCAGCAGTTTAATAGTTGAATTCGTGAGGTGGTTGTTGATGCGCACAGCTGAAGAGTTCCAAACTAGGACGAAACGGCCGTCCAATGCTACAAGGTTTTCCATGGTGGTCTAACTTTGATCAACTCATGAATTCAAGTAGTCGTTAATTGATTTTGATCACAAAGATTTAATCAGTTTAGTCATAAATTGTCATCTCGTTACCCTGTCTTTTAAAAACATGTAACAATAATATTTATGTAATCAAACTTCCTTATAAAAACAAAAAGCATAACCATATGAATATATTATAAGAGATAGTAGTTGATTGCAAGTCTATGAAAATTTAGGGTAAAATAATCATTTATATTCATTAGCTAATTCATTCAATATATGTGTTTGGTTTTACGGTCATGGTGATTGACTCATTATTATTACTGATATATTATGTGAATAAAACGTTCTTTTAGTTAAAGTTTATATCATGAATAAAATTTCGCCTATCGTCATATAACACTTGGATTTCTGGCATTAATTACAATGTTCAATAGTGTCGTTTCATTTAAATGTTTTAAAATTATACCATTCGGTAGATGAAAATCGACAACTACCAAAGTTCAAGTAAAAAAACCAATCGCATTCAGTTAAATATTATCAAAATATATGAGTTGTGGTCGCTAGTGCAATCAAGGATGTTCGTCTCGTCAAATTTGGTATTCGTCAGCAAGATGTTACAAAGTTATTGAAAAGGTATTTTTGTTTGACAAATAAACATCTCAACAATATATTGAAAAATGCATTAGGTTTTTCCCAATTTCCTAGACAAAAAGTCTTAAATAGGCTTTCTCATCTCTTATGAGTATAATCTAGAAAGTCTTTGGTACTGGTTTAAAACTATTCTTGAATGATGACAGAAAAACTTGTTACGGATTGAAGCGAAGAGATCCAGGTATTTGACGAAGTTGTAATCTGGCGAGTTTACCAATGCACGCTGTTGACAAATTGTAAACTACAATGAAATACTTTTCCACTAATCCTTGACCCTGAGAAGTACAATAAATAATGTCTGTGGTAGAAAAACGAACTAAACCGATAACTTCTTATGAAAATATATCAATAAGTCTTTGAAATAACGAAAAATAGATGGATTGGATCAAATAAGTGTAAGATCAGTGAGTTGGTGAATTGATTTATTGTTGTTGCATACTATAGACAATTTCTGCAAGATGTATCTAGTCTTTATAGTATGATTCTTTTTAAAAATACATAAGAAAAATCTAAAGTTAATTTTACCACTTATGTTGACATATAACTTCACTTACTATTCTTATATCTTATCTTATATTTTAAAACATTCAACTTTAAAATATATAATTTGTCTACAAAATGTTAATTAGAAAATTAAATTCAGTACAATCGATGCATTTTTATCAGATTACTACTATGGGCAATAGCTTCTTGTGTCCATGACAACGGTTTTTAAGGGGATTCAGTAGATATGTGTTATGAATTAGCTTTCACCTTTCTTTTTATATGATTTCAAAAATGAATATTTTTTTAAAATTCCATCAATATCATATTCAATATTGGTCCCGCAATGACATTCTACCTATAGGCCACTGAACAAGTGTAATCTTATTGCCAAAGAAAGCCTGCTAAAATAAATTATTCCTTTAATATCAACATCAACATTATATAAGAGTAAGAATTAATAGTTCAAAACCTAACTGCGTTTAGAAAAGTCGGTTAGAAATTCAGCAGGGATATAAAAAGTTTGAAATGTTATACACGGTAAGACTAATAGTTTCAAAATGTTACGAAATTGATGAAAAACGGTATTAAGGAAGAAAAATTGAAGTGATCTTAACAAGATTGTTTAGCTTACTGAATGGCAGTTAAAACAAAATAAACATTTAGAAGACATTATTCCATAAAAGTTGATTACTGATTCGTATCTAAAAATAAATACAAAGGAGAGACGGAATTTCATCTATCTGTTTCCTATGACTTCTACAACGTTACGTAAACTGGAACCGGTTGATCATTCTATGAGCAATTTCTATAACTTTTTTCTAATTTTTCCTGTGTTACATTAAGCTAATGATGAAGTTCTTGTTGTTTGTGACATATCTGTCTGTAAAGCGAAACAATTGTATAAAATATCGGTCATTTTTCCCCAGTATTTATTTTTATATATTGTGTAACTTCTGGTGATTCCCACAGGTTAATATAATACTTATATTCTCAAATGAACTTGTGTATAACACGTATATCATTTTTAAAAATTGCATTATACTATAATTGGCTTTAGATATGTCATTCTGTTTGTATATTCATTAGTATTTAATCAATCAAATAAAAATCATCATCGTTTGATCAGTTTCTCAGTTATAAAGCTGAAACTATATTATATTATCATGTTATATTATTAGGGATCTGTTGGTGATTATATTGTCAATGTTGCTATCCCATAGTAATTTAAAGACTATTACATACATAAAATGTTTGTAATTTAAACAATTTCCTCAACTAGCAACTCAGTTTTTTTAATCAATACAAAATTGTTATTTCAATATAATTACAGAGAATTTATTGAGTATTGTTTTGTGATAAACATCAATAATAGATGATAAATAATATAGAGTATATTCAGTCATGTAACCGAACTTTTCTTGAACAATATTATTATAGATTTTTATAAAAATTACTTAATCAGTCTATGAACTTGGAGGTTATTAGATTAAGTAGCACATTAAAAATCAATAAAAATTATTGATCATATTTATTGAAATCAATATTGTATCATTTCAATATTATTATTATTATTATTATTATTATTATGAAATGATTTATTAAAACACAATTTTATGAACGAAGAATATTCTTTTCCAATAATTTCTCATCAGGTTCTACAATTATAAATCCAGATTAATAATCCATAAAATTGGCCAGATTTAAGGCAGAGCACATCATTTGGAAATTGTAATATGTGAATCAGGAATTGTTTGTTATATAAAATAAAATTGTTAATGTTGGGGCTGACTAGTATGAAGTGTTAACTTGAATCAGTTTATAAGTGAAATGAAATTGTGAGATAAATTATCAGAATAAATATGGTCAATATGATTTAAGCGAGAGAGAGAGAGAATATTGTGATTACAAATCGGAATTCACGTAATATGTAAAATAATATGAATTAGGTCAAACAGTAAATTCAGGGGTGGATATTGAATAAATTCCCCAAAAAGGGTTTATCAAGTGTAAAGACAATAACAATAATAATAACAGTAATAATAATAAGTTTGGGACATAAAATGAACATTAATCAGATTACGTCACCACATTATAAGATTGATTATTAGCTAGTTGGCCTCAGAGTTGGCCAGGGTAGAAGGAGTGGCTGAACATACTTGTTTTGGATACAAAGCTCTGATTTTTTTATCCGAATAGCAATTGCTTCAGCCGTCTGTAGGATTCGCAGTCTGATGGAATTAGGTAGACTGCTGTTGACACGATAGACTATTGCAAAAGATTGCTCCATAATTTATTTTATTATTTTATTAAGAAGAATATTATTAATCAATAAATATTTATTTAAATATATTCTTTATTTATAGTGGCTGATTTAAGAAGGAAAGATTAAAGGAAAATACTATTGATTTATTGATATCATGAATGGAATTATAATGAATATTTTGAAAAAGTGTATTTAACTAAGTCATTGATTATTTAATGTCAGTAATTTATTCTAAAGTAAATGGAATATATTGGATTAAAGGACTGTTTTAAAAGGTTTGTCGTCATAATCAAGTGATATTCATTTTCAGCTTTAATTATTTATTGCCATGAAATTTTAAGTCATTTTATTAGATCCCTTTTTATATCTTGTTTATTGAAAGAAATTTATTTCATTTATATTTGTAAACTATGTTTAGAGTATATATCTCGATGTTATTCAGGAGAACGATGAAAGCTCTATGACCAAACCATCCAGCTTAAAGAATAAAACTCTACCAAAATCATCTACCTGAACTAGAAATCTCCATTGTCTCATAAAAACTATATATTTTATACCAGAATTTATCTAAAAACACTTTAATTTTAACATTACCCCTACTCAATTCGATTTCTTAATTCTGAAGCAATCGGCTAATATGTCCATAAATAAATGAGTGTTTGCTCTGAAAAATTGGGCTAAATTTATGATTACCCAATGAAAATATTAAAATTTAAAAAAATATTAGTGATTAGTATAGGGTATATTAATTACTTACACGTAAATAATTATCCAGTGATCCATTTTCCATAAATTCAATAACTATCATTTTAGGTTCAGATTTAATGACTAATCCAATTAATTGAATAATATTTGGATGATCTAATTGACTTAATATATTAGCTTCTGTTAAAAAATCTTGACGAGTTTTTTCACTGACATCTGGATGTAACATTTTTATTGCAACAAGTTGAACTTTATTTTCATCAGTAGTTATAAAATCACCAGCACATACTTTACCAAATTCACCTGTGTATATGGTAATAAAAAAACACAATTATCATAAGAAAATAGTTTCAATAACTTCCGTATGATCTTACTACCAAATACAAAAAGTTCATAATGACCAAACTGTTAACGTTCATCGACCCGGAAACAATTCATGACAAGACAGAAATACATTAAAGTTCATGTGTTATGATTAAAGTCAACCATTTAATGATATTCAAGCCCTTTTTATCGTTTATAATGTTTAGTGTTATTATTATTAATGACTTTATTCAATATTATGTTTTTGGTACAACATAGAATTCTCAGCACAAAGTATTTCAACTAGTTTCCTTTTTTATTTATTGATCGATCCTGACAACAAATATCCATTAATCACTAGTTAGACGTTAACAGTTCGGGAATCGACATCTGAATAATGTTCATTTTTTTCCAATTCGTATTGCCAGCAACCACAATGTCACTGATAATACTTTTCTGCAACTTGTACAGAGAAAGGTTGTAAACTTTTTACAAACGCGCCTGAATAGTTTATGCGATGAATAGACATAAGGATGTTACATTGTTACAAGACTTACATGTTTTACAAATTACAATAACCATGAAAATGTAAGGAAAATGTCATTGTTTGTTTTATAATATGAGTTCAGATTAATTTTTAATAGTAACTGGATGTTGACATGAACTTGACAGAACTTGTGATGTTGAAAATTGGACGTTTCTGAATAACAACATTCTTGGACATTCAACATTAAAAGTAAAAATTAAAAACATTCTGAAATTTACAAAACTTTCAAACTTCATCAAGTTAACCATCCATACGTCTTAGATTAACTATTGTTAATCTGTCAGGAGATATCTTTACAAATGGTCCTTAATATTTTCTTAAAAAAAGTTTCTTTACATCTGAATTCAAACTATGTGCACAGTAACTTTGGGCATTCGAGAATGATACATTAAGATTGTTTCGAACTAACATTTGGTCTGACAAATATTATACACCAGTATAGTATTGTTTATAATATTCTCAACTTATACAAAGTCAATTAAAATAACTACATGTACAAGTACTAGTAACATTTTAAAACAGTACCGCTTTCAAAGTATTCAATTTTCTTAAATACTGAAGTGTTTTTAAAACGTATTAGTTATTAGTTCTAATAAGAGTAAGTTTATACGACATATTACTTCTTAAGGAGTTAAACAATGAGCAGACAAACATATCAATAAATAAAGTGTTTTGCCTATACTACCAAATCACTTGGAAATAATTTCTAATTGCATTCAACATACCTTCCCCTATTGTACTTCTGATCATTATCCGACGTGGATCGATTTCTTTGTTTGTTTCTCGAATTGAAATGGGTGGTTGAGAAGAATCACACATGGTTGATTTTAATGGAGTTGAGTGGTCACTTGCTACTGGACTATCTGGAACTACAGTCAACATCAAATAAACATTTTAAATTAACTCTAGGGAAAATAACTGGATATATTTTTTTCAAGAAACGTTATTAGTCCATGTTTATTAGCCTACCAGTGGAAAATCAAAGAAAGCGTCTTGTCAAGTATTTTGTTTAATTTTTAACGAATTGTCAACCAATCTTAGAAAATAAAATGTATAGGAATGAATAAAATGTCTAAACTAATACAGAGATGGTTAGTTTTCTCAGCCAATTATTATAATTGTTTACAGTCGCACTAACAGCACACAGAGCATCAATAACAAACATTTTATATGAATATAAAGTAAAAAATAATCCACAAAACTGATATATAGACTACAACACAGTTACAGTTAATACATTGGATTACTCAATGCAGCATGTAAGAAGTGTCGTAAATCCTGATTTCTATTTTAGAGATAATGCGATAACAGGAAAATATTATTGACGTTCATTTAGAGACTTTCGTCCCATGGTAGATAAAAGTAAGTTAGTCTGTCATGTTAAACAGTTTTAGAAATGATAACAGTTCGACATTTCGGTTACTGGCAACAATGTGCTAGATCTCAAAAAGTATTTTCAATTATTAAAAATCATACTACATCAATTTAAAAAAATATTTAGCAGCTACTTTTCTATGGTACGATAAGGAAACCTCCACATTACTGAAGTTCATCTCAGTGAAGTATCCGACTTAGAAACTGTTATCAAGTCAAATATCTTGGAGTAAGTACATTCCTATTTGTTTAATCCATTCGCACAAGTTCTATGAAATAATGTATTATTTCTCGTTCATATAATTTTGTTTTATTATAGCGGTAGAAATGGTAAAATATTGTAATATCTTGTATAAATTACTATGAATATAACAGACTAATATGAAGTCTAGTTACATAAGTCGATAATAAGAGTATGGTAAGTAATACTTTAAATTATTCTTACCATCAAAGACTAATTATCAAATTTATATTTGCTTTTTTAGATCAATAAAGAAAAATTAGTATGACATGTTAGGAAGAAGAAAATATACTCTTGTCTGTATCAATAACCTCTAATCTATACAACCGATTGTCAGTACATAAACATTTCCTATTTTAAACTTATCAGTTGAATAGGAAAGTCTAGGTTGACAGTGAATGAGAATTTATCAGATGTGGTAAACTCAATTAAAACGTTATGCTTATTTTTGTCTATTTTCTAATAATCTTAAAGCTCATAATCCCTGTACATCAATAATATGGTAACTATGAGGATTTATGGCAACAAACAATTAAATAGATAACAAAGTATGCTGAAAAGTTGCATAGCGTTTTATAAAAAATTAAGCAGCAAGCGAAAATTAAGTCTATCAGTCTGTTTTTAATTTCCTATCTTCACGAGTTACCTAGAGAAATCGGAACAATACAAATAATTGATTTAAATAACTTTTGACTATATTTATTTGCCATTTACTAGTCAGTTGTTCTAACATCAGTTTTCCGTTTATTCAGAGAAGTTTTATCTTTAACCGTTACTCAGTTGAACATTGTGCCGATTCAGAAAACGTTTCTAAAGAATATACTATATATCAGCTACGAGAAATTCAAACAATAAGTCATTTATTCATCACTCAGATATTTTTAAGAGATAGATTCCGTACATTTCTTTGAATTGAAATAGTTAGTCTTCCAGAATGAAGATAACATGACCAAAAGTTTTAAATATGAAAATAAGCTACGGAGAGTTAAGTCTAGTCTTATTAGAAAATCTTAAATAAAGTTTTAATATAAACTGTTTTCAACTATACAAACAAACATCTAATTTAGTGTAAGTACGACTTGAAAAAATTCACTTTCTGGAAATTACAAAAGTAACAATACTTATCATTGTGATAGTAAAGATGATATTAATTAGAATACAAATAATCTCACAAAACTAATACTATACCTTCAAGTTCCAAATCACATGGTGTAGGCTTCTCTGTCATACCACTCATTGAATTCGAAACGAGAACAGTTTCCATTTGCCTGAATTTGAAGCCAAATTTTGAAAAGAATCTTGAAAATAATTTATTCATCAGTATAGGGTTATGGAGATTGTTGAGTTTTACTTGAGTTCATGAACCAATCAATGTTGGACCAGCATTTCTTCCAGGCTTTCAATGGTGGCATAATATTGATCGGTTAATGAACTCAATAATTTATTCAGATAAATTATTTACCATATAAAGTTTATTTTTATTGTTATTATTAGCACTATCTCTCAGTAATATATACGTGAGTAGTCTGTATGACATGTAGTATAGAATATCTAATCAATGTATATCCAGATACGAGAACTAACTACTGCTTCCTCATAATTTACATTGATATGATAAAATAGCCTGAAGTTCCACGTAATCTAACGGGTCCTTTGAGACAGTTGGTTTCAAATTCTTGGCTATCAGAATTCATGAAAGCTCGATGGAGCTTTATGAATCTTCGGATAAACAGATATTTCACCTTAATAATTAAAGCAAATCGGGTCAACTTTACTCAGAAATGTGTCTGTTCAACATGGAAGATTAACAAATAATGAATGATGTATGATGATTAATTTTTGTTCATGTTTTATATATAAGCATGTTATTTCATTACATAAAAAATTATTCTTCTCAATACACAGGAAACTGCAATAAAGTTTGTTTCATTAAATTTAAAGTCTAAGTCCTTTCATTCCATCTATCAGTCATCAATAATGTAATTAACAAAACTAAATTAATGATTTTACTAAAAACATTTCTATGAAAATATAATAACTTACGTATTTTCTTCTGTAGATCTAGATCGTTTAGTACAAAAACGTAGAAATATAAGAGTACCCAAAAGACAACATAACAATATTACTGCTAAACTTAATATACCCATAAGTATTTGAAAGCGCTTAGATGGTTGTGTTGGTTTTATTATTTCAGAAACATTCATTGATCTTAAATCTTTTGAGGTAGTATCCATAAGTAATGGATTGTAAGTAGTAGATTTTTCTAAAATAGAAGTGTAAAGTTTAAATTCAGATAATTTCTAAAAAAAAAAATAATGAATACTATACTCACATAATTTAAATTTGAAGCCAGAAGTAGGATTTTTCTAACAAAACTTATAAAACTGTATATTTAAAAAAGACACTTGCTAAGTTTGAATTTCCAAGTAAACTGTTTTGTACTCATTATTTGAAACAGAAACTACAAACATAATATTCTATGCTTTATACTAAACAGAAAGTAAACATTTTTCATATTGTCCTAAAATTAGTAAAAGATTATAGAAAAACGTTACTGTGTAACTACAATAACATCGGCATGCACGATTCCAGCCAACTGTCCAAACATATTTCTTTATCACTAAATCAACAGAAATCAATCTTAGAATAACGAATGACACTAAGGTGAAACGGCTGTCCAGTGCTTCTAGGTTTTCCATGGTGGTCTAGCTTCAACTGACTGATGAACTCAATTATTACACCACTATAACATCCACAAAACCTCTTTCTGAGTTAATAGTAAGACAATTCGAAGATGTTCTCAAACGAATATCTTTGTAATGTATTTGTGAACATTAAATGAGTTGCTAAATATTTATTGAGAACCTTCCAACTACTATGGGGTAACAACTATTAAAACACTTGATGTATATTTCTTTTGAACAGAAATATTATTCTCACATTGAAAATTCTCAAAATAATAGTTTGTTGCAAGAGAATTGCTTCGAAAATGTAGGTTTGTCAGTACTTATCATTTGGTATCCTTGTGTTTTAAATTACGAGAATTAAAGTAACAAAAACTGCTAAATTCTGTTTTTCATAAAAGTTAATAGTATGATGTGTAAGGTAAAGCAATTAAGCCGATACAGACAGATTTTCTTAAGGTGCCAAAATTCCTCAGGCAATACACTTAACATGGTAGGAATAAAACTACCTGAATTTTCATATTTGAGAAATTTTGTTTTTAAGTTGGTAAAATGACATAAAAATTCGAATCCACTTGTGACGTACCTACGGGTAGTATAAAACTAAAACTGATATTTATCAGAAAGCTAAAGAGTTCATTTTTACTGAAACCCTTAAGCATATATTAAGGAACCATTACTTTGAGTGACTCGATTTGATCAGTTAAACAATACGTTTTAGACACAAAGTGATACAATTTCAGAATGATTATAATCTTTTAACACTGATTTATGATAGTCTATGATATAACAATCATATTTTCACTTTAATACACACGGAATCAAAAAGTGTTATGCTTTTTTCTCAAAATAATCTCATTACTGATAATCCACTTTATTTATTGTTATTTAAATGACAACAGAAGGAAGAAAAATAAACATCCAGTAGAATTTGATCTTGTAACGTTTGATAAGTATCTGGATTTACTCAGTGCTCAATTCATTATAAGGGTTAGACATTTTTTAATTAGATTTTTAAGATAATGTCAAAAATATCAACATTTGATAATGATAAATCTGTGACAATGTATGTCTTATACAACCCATTCATAGAATGAAAGTTATTGTTAGTTTCCTGACATATTTCTGTCAGTATCACAAGAATTTACCATTAATTAATTGTCCTTATTGTGATAACGGTTTTGTAAACAAACAACCAACATCTAAAGTTCTCTGTGTAACACTATTTCATTTGAAAATAAATCTTATTTTCTGCTTCTAACTTCTGGTTCTTGTCAAAATGAGCTTATTTTCTATTTCAGTAGTACATTCATTATATTACACTTCTTTTCATCATTCAGTGCTATATTCTTCCTTGATTTTTAATGCTTCCCTACTATTCTCAATATTAGTTTTTGTTACAGCTATTATCCTTATCACAACGTGTATAAACTAAATCCGTGTTATAATTGTCAAACTGCTCGGTTATATCAAAATGTCTATCTTATGTCAAGTTCATTGTACTATATGTATATAAATAAATACCGATTTAAATCAATTTATTATGGTGTATTATTACTTTCGAATGATATGCAATAAACGTTTAGTACCGAATATCATAAGGAATTCTGAATTGAGTTTAAATGAAGCAGTTCAATATTTAGAATCTATTCAATGATATTTTGATTAAAATATAAAGAAACTGATTAATTCCAATCCTTAATATCTCAAGCAAAATGACTCAAACTTTTTAGAACAGAATTAAATAAGCTTTTTATTAAGATGATGGGGATATCTATGATTCATTCAATGTTCCGAATAAACAGTATCATATTATAAAATAAGTGATTTATTTGACAGTTTTAAGTTGTTGTTTCCCAATAAATAAAAAATCTTCCATCTTTTTATTTATGTTTTATTAAACATAAACAATAAATGTTTGTGTTTGTCATTTCTAAATAAAAAGTTTACCATCGTTACCTTCCACTTGGGGATCACTTTGATCAGTATTTGAATATCGATAAACCGACTTCTTAAATATTCCCCAACCAGCTGAAAGATGAGGTCTCACCTGAAAGTAATGAAAGTATACTGACGTTTAATAGATGAAGAGATTTTCAAATTTATATATAATCTGTATATTATATAAGAATTAATCTCGAAGAAACAGAAAATAATGCTGTTTTAAAATTTATTCACATAACTAATAGCCAATTCTATGTATTAGATGGTGGTTGGAAGTAGTCCACAGGAAACCCTGGACCCGGGTTTCGTGCTACTTGGCACTCGTCAGCAAGGTGTACATGTAATCTTGAGGGAACTGGTGCTCCCTGGTGGATTCGATCTCGTGTCACCCAGCTTCACAGTCAGAGACGTTACCACTGAGCTATCCGAGTTGCGATCGACCTCCTGTAGGGTGACGATCAATGTCATGCGTGTCTAGTCCTTAATAGTGCAGATCGATGCTATCGATCAGGAAGTCGTTCGCGGCTCAGATAGCTCAGTGGTAATGTCTCTGACTGTGAAGCTGGGTGACACGAGATCGAATCCACCAGGGAGCAACAGTTCCCTCAAGATTACATGTACACCTTGCTGACGAGTGCCAAGTAGCACGAAACCTGGGTCCAGGGTTTCTTGTCGACTACCTCCGACCACCATCTAATCTCAATATATAGTGCTCACAGTGTCGGGTCACCTAGACTGGTGGCCACATTGCAACATGATCGATAGCATTCTATCTGCACCAATAAGCACTAGACACGCATGACATTGATCGCCACCCAGTGATCAATCAATTTGGAAATCTTTGTATGTTATTAACTTTGGATATACTACACTTTATTGTTATCAAGTAATTATGAGTTATTCTCCAGAGGATTTTTATCTGTATTCCAGCTTACGTTATGGAATAAATGTGTTACACTTGATATATTGAGGAGTAATTTATTTAGCATTTTGTTTCACGTTATCCACTGAATTTTTCGATGACCTTAAATCTTTTTTACAAATGGTATTTTTTGTGGAAGAAAATACATTTATAAAATTTGGTGAAAGTGCACTATCATACACATCTCAAACCTGTGATGTTATTTCTGTATTCTGATTCACTGTAAATATATTGAATTATTTATTCCCTAAATTCTCTGTATTTTTTCATTCTATTGGGTATAAATACACTTTAATTTTGACAAGGGAAGCTTTATTAAATGAGCAAAACATATAGCTATCAGCATTGTCCCTTTTTACAGAAATATTAACTTTACTAAACGTTTCCTCATAGCTTTTGTGTTATATAAGATGGAACGGTTTACTCCTATGTATTATTAACTGTAAAATAATTTCAATAGTTGAATTCATAAGTTAACTAAAGCTAGACCATCAATGAAAACCTGGAAGCCATGACCAGTGAAGTGCAACCATGTCTGTTGCAGAGACAGTTACTTACTAAAGACAATAGTGGACGATCGTGCAATATCGTGAATTGGTTGAAGTTAGATATTAACACCTTATGATGCCGGCTCAGTGATCTAGAGACTAAGCGTTCGTGCGCGAGAGCAAAGTTCCCCTGTTCGAGTTGCGCATACGTGGTCGTGGGTGTCCATTGCTGAGGAGTCCCACAATAAAAAGAAACGGCTGTTCATTGCTTTTGAGCTTTACATGGTGGCCTAACTTCGAATGATTCACGCTTTCAGCTACTAAAATTACTACAATATCCACGAACCATCTTTCTGATATAAAATAATTGATTAAAAATGCTAGGACACAACAATAGAAGTTTCACTGTTATCGTACACATCTGTTAGAGAGGTAATTTGATCTGTGTGGCGTATTTGCATCATACAGAAAATGAATATATTCTGGTTTCCTGTTTACAGTTACGTTTCGTAGACATGTGTCGGAAAAAACAATGCATTATTTTCTTTACGCCCATTACGTACTTAATGCGATATCCCTTTGATCTAAGTTTTGAATAACAATATATATGATGTCATCAGATTTTGAGTGTACGTTTACTTAAGATCAGTTCAACGACATTTATATCGCATTAACCTAAAGTAATATCTTTTATTGTGATAGATAATTACTGAAACCCATTACTATTATGAAGACAGGAAAATATAAATGTTATAGACGTAACAGTAACATATAACTGATAATCTTTTGTGGAACTGTGTACTGAGACAAAATAACACAACAATAGTGAACATTCTTATTTCGAGTTTCTACTATGTTAAATATTTTGGTTTACTTTTCGTTTTCAGACGCCTTCACATAACGTAACTAGTCTTAAACTGGTGGATCACAAGTGTCACTAACTTTGAATCTAAAAAACTAATCGATGAAGGTCTCAGCTTAAAAGACGATTTTGCGTAAGTAGCTGTGTATTTTTCCTCAGATAATTATGTTAAATGAATTAGCGTCACATACCCATATTCCTAATATTCCAGGTTGTGGTAAATCTGTTAAAAATATGGATGTTTCTGACAAAAAGTGAGTAAGTGCTGGTTTACTTTGCCAATACTTATCTTCGAATTCCATCAAAGAAGAGTTAATCCAAACATATACTTGATACTCAATAACACTGAAATCCGCATTCGATGAATGTATCTAAAGTGATTTAAATTAATACAATAAGGAAGATAAAACAAATGTTTTATATGAAGTGAAACACTTAACCTACTCTCCCAAATTCTGAGATGCAAATAGTTTTTTTTTCATTCAAAAATAATGTCAAAACATGTCGAATGATACGGAAACTAACAAGAGATTTACATGTGTAGGTTAATTAAATTGCGACATGAATTTCTGTAAAGAACTCGTGTAATTCAGTATCACCACATTACTTGCATTATTACTTCATAACGGAAATTGTAAACAATTTTTTGGTGCTGTTTACTCACAAGCGGTTTAATAATATATCTTAAGTTATAAATACAGAGATTAAATGTCACATGTTCGGAGTTAGATCAATAAAAGTAATAAATCAATTATGCCTGCTCATTCTCATTAAGGCATATGTTCCCAAACAGTAATCTTCAATCAACTCCATTTCATTTGTCGTTTAGCGCTTTTCATAGTCTTAATGACTGTTTCCGATTGCCGGTAACAAGTGTTTTTTGGTCTACCTCCTTTCCTTTTTCCCTGAAAATTATAAGATATGGTTTGCTTTGTGATGTGATTTAATGGGTTCGATAAAGTATATTCTATCCTCCTCCAAAGTTTTCATAATCTCTCCCTCAAATAAAAGCCGATTTATTATCGATCAGAGTAGATTATTGTTTATAGTCTATAACCAATGGGCATAGAGTATCTTCTGTAGACTGCTGTGTAGAAATATCTATTTATATTTTGTAATGGTGGTGATAATTCCTTAAGTTTCAGCTCTGAACAAAAACCATATAAACGTTAGTGTACATAAATCTGATCTTGGTCTCGACAGTCTTTTTATGTTCTAGATATTCTTCAATTGTAGGAATGTCGCCCTTCCTTTTCCACTGCGTGTTATCACGTCTGGATCCGACCCTCCATGTTTATCAACAATGCTGCCCAGGTACATGAAGGCTTCCACCTTTTCTAGAGTTTCATCATCAACTGTGATTGCTTGGTACTCAATGTAGTGTACTTCAGTGTCATGCTTATTCCATTGCGAACAATGAAGCATCTGTGAGCTGCTGTCCATGGAGAACGTTTTAATTCAGTCTCTTTCAGGAGCTCCATATGATGATAATGATAAAAGTTTCTAAGCACTAAGTGGTGCTTAAGAAGAACTACAGAGGCACCACACTACAGTCAGTACCAGGGAAAGTCTTCAAAAGAGTGTTACTGAACCGGATGAAGGACGTAGCAGATACCCAACTTCGAGATCAACAGGCTGGATTTCATAGGGATCGATCATGCACAGACCGAATCGCGGCACTACGGATCATCGTCGAACAATCATTTGAGTGGCACTCGTTATTATACATTAACTTCATTGACTATGAGAAGGCGTTTGGCAATGTAGATAAGAGAACATTATGGAAACTTCTTCGACACTATGGACTTCCTGAGAAGATTGTCAATATTATCCGGAACTCATACGACGGACAATAGTGCGAATTCTTGCATTGAGGACAGCTCATATATGCATTGGAATTGAGAACCGGAGTCAGACAAGACTGCTTACTCTCCAACTTCTTTCTTCTGGTGGTCAACGGATTATGAGGACTTCGGAAGCACGGAATACTATGAACAGCTTGGAATCAATTAGAGGATTTGGGCTTCACAGGTAACCTGGACCTTCTATCCCATACACACGAAGAAATGCAGATGAAGATTCCCAGTGTATAAGCAGCATCTGCATCAGTAGGCCTCACCATACACAAGGGACAAATCAAGATACAACACGGGGAACACCAACCCTATCAAACTTGATGCGAAAGCCCTGGGAGGGGTAAAAACCCTCACGTACACGGGAAGCATCATCAAATGACAAAGGAGATCTGATGCAGACGTTAATGCGAGGATCGACAAAAGAACAACAGCACTCCTACATTTGTGGAACAAATGGAAATCAAAACAGCCGTCAGCCAATATCAAAGTCACAATCTTCAATACGAATGTCAAGACAGTTCTACAGTACAGAGCTGAAACTTGTGGAACTACTACAACCATAATCAAAAAAGTGCAAGAATTTATAAACAGTTGTCTACGCAACATACCCAATATCCGTCGGCCGGATATCATCAGGAACAGCCTACTGTATAAGAGGACAAAACAGGTTCCAGATGGGGAGGAAACTAGGAAAAAACGCTGGAAGTGGATAGGACACAATTTTGCGGAAAACGTCAAACGGCATCACGAGGCCAGTCCTGCTTTGGAGTTGTCGAGGTAAAAGAGGGAGGCCAAAAGCACACTACATCGAGAACTTGAGGCAGACACGAAAAGGATGAATAGCAACTGGAAAGAACTGGTAAGGATTGCTCAGGACTAAGTTGGATGGAGAATGCTGGTGGAAGGCCTACGTTCCTCCATGTGAGTTAACAGGCGTAGGTAAGTAAGAAGATCCATATATTATTAACGGTAATGTGATCTATCCGTAGCTCTCACACTTGCTAAAATTTCCCTTCTTGTATATTCTGATTAGATATTCTTGATAGGATCACATCTCTCTCACACTTGCTTCTGTAGCAGCTTGTTTTGCTGTAGTTTTCAGATCTTTTGCGCACCACCGTTTATCAGTTCTAGTGCCATTTTTCACCGGTTTGTTTGCTTGTGTATATATGTATATATATATAGGTTAATTTAACAGAAATTTGTGCATCTTTTTGATACAATGGTATGGATTAATGAAAATTAGTTAATTATTCGTTGTCTACGTACTATAGTTTCACTAATGATACTTGGTATGATACACTTTACGGTAAACGGAACTATGACAGATTTCGTTCATTTAGAAAAATACCAGAAATGATTTATCAGTTCTTCAATTTTAGTCAATATACAAAGGTTGTTAATTAGTATGGTAAGGCGGAGAATAACAAAATTTGGAAGGGAAAACATTATTTGGTGTATTAAATCTATTGTTTGGTGATTTCATCATCCATACGTTCCAATACTATTGAGTTAAACCCAATAATTTTATTTTTTGCTTCAAAACGTTTTATTTGTCAACAAACTAGCTGTCTTACGTTATTTTAGTTAGTTTATCAAGTACGTTATCTACCAGGTGAACTACCTCATATATGAAAAATATTAACTGAGTGATCTTACGTAACTTATGAATGGGATTTTTTAAAAATCTTTTTTGTTCTAAAAGAATTACCTGTGAATTAGATAACTGAGACTTGTAATCTGACGTTGATACTTGAATGAATGATTTGCTTGTTACAAATTGAGGTGGTTCCCATGAGAACTCATATACTTTGTCCATGGAATTTTTTTTAGCTTTATTGTATGTATTAGAATCAATGGTTAATTGATGTGTTGTTGACTTGTTGGCTTGCAAGTGTCTTACTTCATTAAAATGGACACTCCCAACAGATATATTAACTGGATACATTTTGGGAATAATAGACATGGATTGAAAAAATTTCAGTATTAAGGAGAACATGTATGATAAAAGTAACGTATATTAAACAAATCTAAACAAAATATAATAAACAGTTACTGATCAAAGAAATGTAGTTGTTGCATTCATAAAATGATATCTTTTGTAAAAAAAATTACTGAATTCCTTATGAGGTAAAAGGTCCACTTCAATTCGGTACTCTTATGGAACAAACAAATGGACTATGCAAATGTATGATAAGGTACATAGTTCCCTTACTGTATTTGACTTTCCACATCAAAATTGATATAGTTTAATTGTTTAGATTATAAAAATGAAATAATACTTCAGTAAATACAGTGAATGTTTTTTTATTCATGCAGTCGCACCCTCAAGTTTAGTTAATATTTTACCAAATAATCGCTTATGAAACAGTATGTCAAGTTTTCAAGGTTTAAACCAAAACATTTGCTCAAAATCATATCAGATAACTAATATTGATGTTGATTATTTCGTATTTCAGAAATTTAACTTACAAGCCTATGTCATTCATCATTACACATAGTGATGGGAAAGCCACACTTTTATAGTTACTTTCTTCTGATAGATATCCAATATGTAGGAAATTCGAAGCTTTTGAAATAAATATTCTGTATTTATATCATTGTATTTATTAGACTTTCTTAATATTACTGATTTCAATTATTTTTTCTTTCTTTTAATCAGATTACGAGATATTTTCATTTATCGGTGAGTGTGTTTCCCCATGATAACATCCAGAGATAATATATGATAAATATACACAAGGCCAATTTATTATCTAACATTTAGACTGAAAGTATGGCTTTCTTGTTTCTTTCTTAGGTAAGTGAAGTGAGTATTAGATGGCTTTAACTATATGATGACACTAAATATTCGACTGTGTGAAAATGTAATCAAAACCATTTGTATAATTTTTAACAACCGTAACATCATCTTTATAACCTACGGCAGATGAATATTGTGAATTAAACAAGACTAGTACAAATATGTAACAGAGGGTTTACTTGATAATCAGTATTCATCTCTATAACTTCACTTTCGCATGAAATTTCAAATCTTAGTACAGTTTGACAGACGTATAAGCTTCTATGACAATAGTGTAATTGATAAGTTAATAAAATTAGTATAAAAAGGCAGGATGTATTGAGGAAGTAAAGTAATAGATGGTTCATCTATTTTTCACCTTGAGGTTAACCAACGAAACAGATCAGAAAGCAGACTGATCTTAAAATTGTATATTCGTAAAAACTCCCTAATCAGATCGAAATGTCTCTTCAGTTGTCTATCATCTCCCAACTCAGACTGAACAAGTTATTAGGGATACAGTGACTTGATATGGTCATAAATTTAATAGCGCTACGAAACTAACATGAGCATACTTAATTGTGTATTCTAATGGCATACGTTAGTTTATTATGAAGAACATTACCGTGTTTGCTGATAAATATTAAATTCTATAAAATTTAAAGTTTCAACCGCGTTTTGATTGTGTTCAACAGCTTTTACCGCACAGTACGTTTAAAGTGTATATAATCATACTAAAGTACTTTTTGTAAAAAAAGACATGTTGCGAAGTCTGTACGGAATATTTAGGGCACTTATAATTAGAAACCGCTTCCCGAATGTCTAAGCAGCATTTTCCAAGAAAGTATATCATTGCATAAAGTTTTTTAGTTCTTGAAAATTTCCAAACAGGTAACAGGTGTGATACTAGCCAATGTCGAGAACAAAACTATCAAATTTCTAACATGGAAATTCGACTCCATTTTTTACGTCAACACGTTTTTACGTTTGATTGTAACCACATTGCAACCAATATTAATGAAAATATGTGGAACATTACTTTAATAAGACTGCTATACACTAATGAACTCATAGCATTGCTGTTAACACTATATCGAAGAATAATTTTACGAAATACTGTCATCAGAGAAATAAAATGAATCTAAATATTTTTCATACAATGGTTTACTCGAATAACAACAAGCCTGGTGTGATAAAATGAATTCGGACTGGTTGTTTTGAAAACAAGTAAATCGTAATGTCAGTATTCTTACAACAATGGTTGTTTCATAAAGCTACATAAAAAAAGCAAATAAAACTTATAACTTTGATCATGATCCTATGGAGGAATTGATTGTTAAATTTCCATTTACAAAGAATGATTTGAGTTCGCATAATTACTGTTCATTAAGATGTAGTTTTGGAACAATTTATCTTGTTTCTCATTTGACGAAAGCTCTACAGAACTGCGTTCATTTATGTACTCATAATTATATCATCACATAGATTTTAAAAAAGGAAACACATATATCTAAAAGTATTTCTTAATATGCACCAAAAATTTGGATGTTCAATGTTCCAGCACTCATGGTACACATAAAATTAACAAAGATAAATAACTACATCCGACTATCAAATTTTGAGTAATAAATATACAACACAATATCAGACTATTACACATAAAAATAATGTCAATTCGGAGAACTATGAAAAGTATCCCTAAGAACTTATCTTACTGAACTGAATCATTTTATACATGTTTCGCTCACATATCACCCTTAAACTCACATATTAGCTATAAACCCATCACTTATAAAAATGCTATAGTACATACATAACAACATAAATTCGCTTCATCCTCCAGTCCTTGTTACTTCAACCAAACAAAAATAACTTAAGTTCAGTATTTAACAGTTTAATAATTCTGTAGATGACATTCAAACATTCTCGAACTTATTTCTTTCAAAAGTATATACATAAAAAAACCTTATAAAATGTAATGCATCTCTGTTCAACTAAATGGTATTAAAAAAAACTTGATAAAACATATTGAATTCAGTAGCTTTGATTTAATTAAATGAGCAGTAATTTTATATTTTCTCTTTGTGGTACTCGAAAAGTATTTTTTGTGTGTGTGTGTTCATTTTCACCTGATATCTTCAAATTGTTAATTTAATTTAGTTAACTATTCATTGTGATTTTGAGGTTGAGTGTCAATCATCATCAAAACTGATACATATATATACTTGATAATATACACGAAAGCCATCTTGATCATTATCAGGTCATTAGAAAGATGTTTGGTAAGTTCAAGTAGTTGGAAAGTATTCTTACTATAGTTAGTTTATTTTTCAATGTTTCTTAAGTTCATCATTATTATTTGATTGACTATTTCAACTCAAATTTATTCAGTAGTTTTAAAATTCTACATTGAATACAATTAATAATAAACACCCATGCTTTAATCACTAGTTATTGAAATAAACGTTCAAAGGTATAAACATCAATCGTAACTTTTCTTTTTAGTTAAAGTTTCGATTAATTTTCCCATTAGAATATCATCGTTCTAAGAATATCTGACAGTTACATAATTTTGAGTATCAAATAAAAGTTACGTATTTAGGAATACAGTTTGTTTATAAGGACTTGAAGGAAACTTTATAGAGCTTGTTTGCTTTATATGTTTCACAACGTCTATTGTAGCTGTGTAATATCTTTGTACCTCAAAGGGTAAACAGTGAATTAGACGAGACATTTAAAGATTTCTTTAACGTTAAAACTAAACCAAAAAATATATGAACACAGTTATTTTTATTTGATTTTACCAAGACGTGATCTAGTTATATATATTTATATTATTTTTATGTTAATTCTTTCTTTGAAAGATAATTTCAGTGATATTGATTTAATTCATATTTTGGTAATAACTATAGCTGTTATCTGACTGATTATTTTCATTCATAATTCTCCTACTTTGTTGCGTGCCTCCAAGTCATTGCAAGTTAATAGCTAGTCTGAGGTTTGAGATTCAAATTTTCAACTATCATGAAAGTCCCGTTTTCTGTACCGAACATTAACAAGTGGATAATTGACGTTAAATAGCTAGTGTGTCAGACACCCAATCTGTTCCAGTTCATATTCTATTTCGTTTTGTATTAGACGATTCTTAATTGTCTGTGGATAGTATTTATGCTAGATCAACAGGAAGCTAAAACCTAGTACTTTTTATCATGAAATAACAGATTTACACCGATTGGTGGTCAGATTCGTACAAATTAAACTGAATAGTAATTGAAATTAACTAATGCATTAATGCAGTAACATGAAATTAAAATACCCTTATAAGTGGTTAGCCTCAAGTGTATAGACAAACTAACGATGTGGGAAAATATTCTTGTCTTTGCCGTCTTACGTTTAGCTGAAACCATTAACACATCAGGATAGTTCGATTGTAGTCTTTAGTTTCACCGTATAAATCATATATATCCTTTTTCTTAAAATGAGATTACAAGTCATGCATGATTGTGAAAATTCATTTTTGTATATCACTTGCGCTCCAACCGATTAAGTCCTTGGTCATCACGTAAATATCATGCAAAACTAGAGTTTTTGGCGTCTCAGTCAACACAATAGTTTTAATACAATTTAGTAAACGAAATGCTATAAAAATAGAATTAACTTACTTGGATTTGGTAGTTGGATTGTTATACTAGCAGTTGACTGGATGAGCTCTAAGTGTGGGAGATGTTCACTCAGTTCATTTGTAGCTATTACACTCAATATAATTGATTTACCCAAATTCAACCCAATTAGAACTAGGCTAAAATCAGATAAAAATAACATTTATTTGATTGGGTATGTTTCTCAACTTTTCTTCTTACATGCAATAAGTTATAAAATACAATTGTTGTATTTAAAGAATTACTAAGGAAGTGTTAGTGTCGCACAAACAGTTGGGCCTAATCAAAGACATTACATTAGCTTATCATTACGCTAACAACAAAGGTTAACCTTTATATCTACAGTACATTTTCAAGTGTTTCTTGATTCTCTCTATTTCTCAAATTATAATAAACTGTCTTTAAAACTATTCATAATTGAATCAGACGAATGTACCTGCATCTCAGAGTTAATTTTCATTCCGGGACTCAAACTCAACAGTCTTGGTTTCAAATACCGTCGGGTTATCCACTTACCTTCTGAGTCATGATAGCCACTTGCTTATACATTAGAGTGAAATTTTAGTTTGTTTTTATATTGCTTGTCTGAATCAATCAATTGGTGTTTAAGACTTCAACTGATCAGTCTCTTAGTGAATAGTGCGATGGCATTTGAAGTGAACGATACTGAGTTCTAGTCCCAGAGTAAACATTAACCCTGGGATTCAGGTACATCTATCTGACGAGTCCCAAATATGACTAAGTGGCGCGCATAGTGGGGATTCCATTATTAACCATCATCTATTTATTAACATTGTATTTCACTATCATTAGTTGACGTGGTTCGGTAAAAGTATGGTTATGAATGCAATTAGTTTTATATTCGCCAACTTACTTTTAATACACTTTAATATAACCATCAATCAATTTCTTTAGTCACCTGGCCTATTAAAGAAAAGTGTCATTTTTAATTAGTCCTCAAATTTTTCTTGTGACTGAAGCATTAGCCTTTTGTATTAAACAACATATGTTGTAGAGTAAAAAGAAATAGTTTCAGCCTTTCACACTCCAATCTTGGTTTTAGAAAGGATACGACAATTTAACACACTTTCTTACTTTATCTTTTCTGTAATAAACAATTATAGGATTAGATAACGCAGTTTGGGGAGTTTGAGCTAATTTAATAATAGTTTTCGTCATGAACTGAAATGGTATGTAAAACACTGAAAACTAGTCTAAGTAGCTATGTATTTAAAATAGGGTCAAATTATTTTTAAAAACGCGGTTGATTAATGTAACAAGTAGAAACTTCTGATGAAAAGACGGTTCAATATTTGGTTATATTTGGATTAATCAATAATTCAAGTCAAAAGAAAAAACGTGAACATATTTCAATAGTCAAGATCATGAGTCAATTGAAGCTACACCACCATGGAAAACCTGGAGGCACTGGACGGCCGTTTCGTCCTATTTTAAGACTTCTCAGCAATGCTCTTTCACGACCTCGCCTTGAGAGATTCGAACCCAGGACCTATTAGCCTTGCGCGAGCGCATAACTACTAGACCTCTGAGCAATCCAACAATGTTAATGTCTAACTTCGACTAATCCACAAATTGAGCAACATATCCACCATTGTCTTCAGTGAGTTACTGTCTCCCAACTGACCCGGTTGAACTCCATTGGTTACATATTTACCTACACAATAAAAAAAGTAGTTTCTATAATCCACAGACCGTTAATTGTTGTTTTCTAAATTTTTTTTTAAAATATGTAATCCTTTTTTTACTACAAATGTCACTGATTTACGTTGTGTTTTTTTGAGTTAAATTTATAAATGTTCTCTCTTAATTTAAATGTTCATTTATAATCATTTTAAAGTCAAAATAAATAAACAAGTAAACATCTATTTTTAATCTACTTTCGTTTCCGAGTGTGTGTGTGTGTGTATGTTTCTTTTCAAAAGTTACAGTTATTTTCTTTTCCTGTCATGATATTTTAAAATACCCTAAATAGACAACTAAAGTAATTTTATAAAAGATGAAGAAGAATTAGAAAAAAAATTAAGATAAAATTGTCCTTAAATGGTGCCAAAATTAAACAACAATCATTGTCATAAAGAAAATTCTATACAAAAACTTCTGTTGTTGGTTAATTTTACTCGAAATAATTGTTTAGTATACTTAGAGAGAAAAAAAATAAACTTTAATAATATATCAATATAATAACTCTATTATGAATTGTAATAAAACAGAGAATAGTTATTATTTATAGTTTTGACTTATAGGCTTGATATGATCTAATTTCTAATTTGGTCCACATTATCATTCGAAACGAATACATTGCTGTTTGAGCTCCAAAAGTAAGTTTAATAAAAACCCTAGAGATTTATAATTCATTCATATAAAACAACTTAGATTTTTGGTCAGCTAACTAACAATCATTCATAACAGTAATTCATAAAATCTGGAATGTTATTTTAATGAATTACAGTGATCTTATTGGAAACGGTTTGAAATTGTACAAACAATCAGGTACTGACTTAGATAATCATGGATTAAGCATCAATGAGGCCATATGGATGTTTTTTTATGTGTAAATAATCTTCCTCAACTTAATTCCCTAATTGTCCTGATTTGCAATGCAGTCATCAGACTCTCTATCATACTAGTTGTTTTGACAATGTGTGATAAAACGTACTCCTAACCTGTTTTACTTTTAACTTGGTGCTCAGTTCTCTTTATATGAAGCCTAATGAAATACCCTAAGCTCGACAGTTCACTTGGTGCTGTTATTAAAGTTTGTGCAATATAACATTTTGTACTGTATCCACATAACCTTAACTTAACTCCTCATAAATTTTTATTTATTACGGAATTACTACAAACATGTATAACACCTTGTCCATACGAACCACATTTTAATCTCCAATAAAATGGTTCTAGATTACAAACTGTAAAACGTGAAGAAAATATTATTGGTAGCAAATATTACTTGCAGTTAAATATTTGGTGGAAATCTTAGAATTAAAGTATTTTTTGTAAGAACCTAAGCTTAGATACTTAAATGACATGCAAGTGTTTCTCAATTTCGGTCTTATCAATTAATAAAAACTCTCCGATTAGTCAAAGTAAACTAAGAACTCGAGAATAGAGGTCAGTAACTAAGTTGCATACATTCGGTCTATTCTTCTGTAAACTGGGGATTATAAGAAAATATAGTATCGTTTACAACATTTTTAATAAAGTAATATGCCTAATTAAACTTTTCTTAGACACAAACACTCAAGAGCCACCAGGTTTTTGGTAACTACAAACATCATCTTATGTTTTTGTGACTACGAAGATTTCTCAAAAAAAACACCAGTTCTTTGATCTTTTAAAATGTAAGTAGTTATTTAGTGAGTTGTTTTAATAATCTCAGAAGCAAAATCTATAGTTCCTATTGGACAATATTCATAGGATAGGCCCATGGGTATGTAATATATAATTCACTTATGACTACTCCATAAAAAGTATATAATCACATCATATCATCAGTTTCATGAAGTAAGGTTAAGTAGGCATTGATAAGCAATGCTTATTCAAAATTATATTCCATAAGAGCTTCTAGATGACAATAGTTATCTAATGAATGACTTGTAAATGATATAAAGAAAATTTAATCAATTTTTTTTACATATACTACTGTAATTAAGGTACTATGAACATTCATAAATTTAATGAACATTTGGTTTTTTTTATAGATTATTTAATCATATTATTCACTATTAGTCAATTAGATAATTATATGTGGGTAATTATTCTGATTTGGTCTTTATTTACTTAATATTCAAAAACCAAAGTATAGTTATATTAACTAAGTATTCTTAGCGACATTTAAGAGATTTTGTATTATATTCATAAAACAATAATGTGGATGTGAATGTCAGCGAAACTACTTCCTTCATGTGAAAAGTGAAATTTATGTGGAATTCTTTCGTAACCATTAGCTAGAGTGACAGAGTGATAGGAACTTTAAAGAACATGGAAAAAAATGTTAATCAGATGTAAATAGATCATTGATCGATAGAGTCAATATTGCATTCGGCAAATGATGAAAACAGGCTACGCTTACATTTAATACTATAATAGAAAACAAAAAAGACTTATTATATACAAGGATAAGATATTTTTAATGACCTTACTTTGAACCCTAACAATGAATGTGTTCACAAGGATTATTATTTTATATTCACATTGCTGACTAGTCACAGATGTACTTTAATGAGTTTAACCTATTTATTTTTACGTAGGTCATTATATATATATATATAATACAACATCCAAAATCCGATAAAAATCTTAGGATAGAAAAACTAAACCGATTTATTGAACTAGGTCTTGAATTTGTTACTTTCTACTTCAAAATATTCTTATCAAATCTAAATTGGTAATGAATCAGTATTGAACTTACGTATTAAGACACCTCTAGGCACTCATCGATAGTTTATACTTGTAACCTTCTAAGATAGTACTACTCAATCTAAAATATATCTAGCTGTGATCTATTGACATATATTTTGGCATGAGTCAGTTTTGAACTGATAGAGTATTTAAATAATTCAATTCGCTTGACAATATCGAATTATAGGAGCACTATAAAGAAACATTTAAGTTTAATATAACTATTCGATACGTTGAGCATTTCGATGTTGAAATTTGCCCAACATTTTGTACGCGAAACTTTTTAAATACGTTTGCTGTTATCTTTTTTATCCTCACAAATCTATGTTCTATGAAGTATTATGTTAAAAAAGTATTTTTCATTTACCTTGTCATCAGAGTCGGAACTGTTGGTACAACCGTAAGATGAGGTGAACATGACTGGTTCGGTATCTCTAAACAGTTTATTATATACCAGACATGAGCTCGACCTCCGGTATCTAATGGTTCATTCCAGAACAGCTGTACCCTTGCTGGATCGCTTAGGTTGACAGTTACGTTTCTTGGTGCCGATGGAATTTCTACAAAGTGTAAATTAAAAAAGTTAGATTCTACTAAAGAAAAATACGCAATCAAACTAAGTAAATAGATTCCATGATTTTTGATGATTCAATTTCTTCACGAATATGATATTTATTATCACTGTAACAACTACAAATTAACCGATGTTGAGAATGTACTATAAGTTGAACAGGGCTCACATATATAAAGTAAATAGGCACTAGTGAAACATTTCTCATCACCATATGAAAGAGATGTTATTATGCTTAAGAAACAGGGCCTACACAAAACTATCTGCTGAATGAAATTTTCATGTAAAGTGATAATAAGCTACAAAATAATGATATATTGAATTTATATTTGTAACTAAGTTAGAATTACTGAAAAGATCTCTTTAGAATGAAAATTGTGCCTTTTATCGGAAATTCTTATTGTTCACTTTATTCATTTCATATACTCTATTAGGATGTTTGGAACTGAAATATTAATTAACAATTGTGTTCATGATAATCGGATAAAGACGGAAATAGTGTGAAGTAAGTAAAAAAAACACGATCATTTCTTGTCACGTAATTTAGTAATTAGGATTTCTAATAGGGTTATGTTTTTTATTTCAGAATAGGAAATATGAAAACTATTGATGATATTTAAACATCTTGGCTAAAGAAATAAAAAGATTTTTCAAACTATAAAGGAATGATATCATTATTGTTGCGTGATAAATTATTGATCATTATTCAAATATTAGAAGTACACCCTCTAAATGGAGTGTATTCAATGTTCAGTTGATAACTGAATTATTATCGAATACTTATTCAGATTATAAAATCATAATAAAAGTATTACAAAACACAGGATAAATTACTATCCAATTGAAATGCACGAAATGGTCTGTCGCAGAATACCGGGTTAAACTATGCTCATTAAAGTGGACGGATAAGTATTTATATATTAACACAAGAAAAAAGATAAATTAATCCTCGTTTATTCAGAATTTTTCCTAAAAAAGTTTAATATCGGACACAGTGAAAAGAAAAAACAAACATGAATACAACTGACAAATAGGGAATGAAACACTTCCTTATAATGAAAGTGAATGAATTCTAAACAGGGACCTAAAAATGTGTTGATTACATCAAACTGAAAGTTAGTCAACTGAACAAAATTAAGTCTAAAAGAAAGCGGTAAGTGTAATGTTTTGACTAGTAGTATAAATATTCATTAATTTAATTTATATTTGTTCCTGTCTTGTTTCTGTAAAATACTCAAATAATTTCTCACCTACCGAAGCTTCTTACCTTTGTCATTGACATAAACAATATGAGACAGATAAAACTTTGATTTAACCACTCCTACTAATCTAACTTCTGAATTTCCAGCATTTGAAATGTCTTTCTGTTCAAAAGCTAAACTTAATACATAATATGCGAATTAATCAAAGGCACATGACGAATAATTTAAGATAATTATTATGATTGAAGATTGTGGAATTGTTCGACATACACCAAAGACTAACTTCAACTGGACAAACTACGAGAACCAATAAGAGTTCAACAGTTGAATAATAATAATCGAAGAATCAGCTCATAGTCCAATAGAAATACCTTTTTTTATGATTAATATCATCATTACTAAATTTATAGCCAGATGGAGAGAATCCATGAAGTATATAAATTTCTAGTATTCTGAAAGGATAATTTTTCTTGTTTCACTATGATCTCGGAAATGTCGATGATGCTTTTATACGATCAGCCGCTCAGTGTATTTAACTTAACTAGAACACTAGTATAGGAGTTGTGGAGATTATTAAGTTTTTGATTGATATCATGAACCAATTGATGTTAGACCATCACAATTGAAAACCTGAAAGCACTGGACGGTCGTTTCGTCCTATTGTGGGACTCCTCAGCAATGCGCATCCACGATCCCGCTCGCGGGATTCGAATCCAGGGCCTTCGGTTTCGCGCGCGAACGCTTAACCAACTGGACCACTGAGCCGGCATCCAATGGTGATAGATATCAATCAAAAACTTAATAATCTCCACAACCCCTATACTAGTAATCAACATGTGCTCACTAGTGACTAGCTTCGTGAGGGAATTCTGGGAGTTCTAGTGAGAAGCTGTGACCAGTGGAGTTAATCCTTGTCGGGTAGAGACAGGTTGTTGGTCGCGCAATTTTGTGGATTGGTTGATGTTAGAAACTATCATCATTGGATGCCGGCTCAGTGGTCCAGTTGGTTAAGCGTTCGCGCGCGAGACCGAAGGCCCTGGGTTCGAATCCCGCTCGCGGGATCGTGGATGCGCACTGCTGAGGAGTCCCACAATAGGACGAAACGGCCGTCCAGTGCTTTCAGGTTTTCAATTGTGATGGTCTAACATCAATTGGTTCATGATATCAATCAAAAACTTAACTAGAACAGTCAAACTGATAAATTCACGTCGATCAATTATATTATCATAGTTTGCATTTATTCCTTGAAATGAGGTTGGAAAGTAAAGAGTACAGACTTATTGTAGTGGAAAAATCTTCAAGGTTTCAGGATACTTCGTGTCACGATCCTGCTGATAATTTCACTTCCGAGCTCTATTTCCAAATACAGAAGTGATATAAAGACTGTCGTCATTCAAAACGTATTGTCTACCATAATCGTAAATTCTGTTAGAGATCTCTTTGAATTCATATTCATGTCACGTCAAATATTGCATCTACCAATCCCCAAAAATATAGTATACTCTTGTGTTAAGATTTTATGTCAAGTGTTTTTTATATCAAAGGTATATGATATGATTTTGTTATACTAAGTTAGTGAAACTTATTCATCATTTCAGGAAATATGATACAATTAAATTAGCTGTTTTAATAACAGTTTTCATTTTTCTTTTAAATCATCATACGAATTACGCATATTTTCTCTCATTTAGCAGGACAAACCAGCTTAATTAATTACTATCAAAAAACGATTTTGTGAAGATTGTATTAATTTAATAGTCAGATTCTTGAGTCGATCAAAACTAGACAACCTTGGAAAACCTGGAAACACTGGTCGGCTGTTTCGTCTTATTATGGGACTCCTAACAATGCGCGTGTCGGGTAACGACAAGTACTACCTCAGACAATAGATGACTGGTTGTGTGACTACTCATGGATCGATGAAAGTTAGACATTAATACTGTTGAATGCTGGCTCAGAGGTTAAGCGTACTAACTCTGGACCGAAGGTCCTGGGTTCGAATCCCATGTGCGGGATCATAAATGCTCATTTCTAAAGAGTCCCATACTAGGACGAAACAGCGGTTTAGTGCTTTGGGGTTTTCAATGGTGGTCTCGTAATACATAGCAAAATGAAATTTCTTTATTATTATTTTTCTTGAAATAATTAAATACTTAACAATGTGTTTAGCATGATTTATTTTGTAAATGAACTCTGAGCTAACTGATACATTAATCGTTTGAATGTTATATTTATTTGATAAATTGATGAGTTGAGTAAATTATTTATTTATGAATAACATCAGCTTAGAATCCTCATTACATTGTTAGTTTAATATGTACAATTCATCAGTATATAATTATCAAAGCTCTAATATCATGAAAATAATAAACAAAGTATATAAGGGATAGAGAAAATCTTGTTTCTTCAATAGTTTTAGGAAATATCAATAAACAGTTTTATTTATAAACATTTTTGAGTATATAAATTATCTTGCACATGATTTACATTTGTTTATACTAGCATGAACGATTGCTACTACCAGAAATATTAGCAAACGTGAGTATAGAAGATGTGCTATATAAAGTTTTATCAAAGATATTTTAAGATATCCCGATGTGTTAAAAGTCCCGTTAAACATTTTTACTTTCTGGGCTGCTGTACACATAAGAACAATTGGAAACAAGTATATGAAACTCAAGGAGAATAAAAGTGAATACAACAAAATATTCTTTTGATCATGAGATATGCTTTGTAATTTTAAACCATATATTAGTTTTAAAAAGTATATCGATAAACTGGCAAAGAAATTAAGGAAAAAAATCTTACTTGTACAAGATGAATCTGGTCTATCTAATACTGGATGACGATAGTAACCGGCATCACATACACAACTATCTACTTGATTAAGACTTGATTCATTATATATTGAAGCTTTAGATCTATAGGTTAACATATTGAAACGTTGTATACTACGACTTGTTAATGTGTGAAAAGGATTATGAGAGTTTAATGGACAACGTTGACATGCAAATGGTCCAAATGTTGGTTTGAAGTAATCTAATCCACAAGCTGAAAAATAATAATAAATATACTGATATTTAATGCAATATGAATATTTGTCTAGAAAGTTCTGTCTTACTCAGATCATACAATGTTCACCATGATAGCAAGATTATAAAAAAAATAACAAATTGACATTGATAACAACAACAATTGTTTAGAGCCATAATATACAATTTTAGTGTTTTTTCCATTGATTCGAATTACTTTAATGAAACAAATAATAAACTTACGCTCACATAATTGATCCATTAAATTATCTTCATTCAGTACACCAAAACCAGGCATACATTCACATGGTCTGTCTAAATGATTTAAAAAGTTGTTTTTAGATAAACTATCATAATCTTTTCCTCCACCAGAATGAAAAGATTTTATTGCTTCATAATACCATATTCCATCTGTTTGACAAATTAACTTAGGTATTTCTCTATGATTGAGTAATGCTGCACCACTGATACAACGACCATCTATAGTTAAACCTTCCATTATTTTCCCCGAAATAGTTCGAGGATATTCAATAAAATTTTTTCTGATAAATGGACAAACTACAAAACCTAGGCGTACTCGTCGTATTGTTGAACATGATCCACGATCTCTTACAGCTATTTGAATGTTATCATTTTGTACATTAAATCTACTGATATGTACAGTAACTTGTTCTGAAGATGAATCAGGTAAATGATTTTTATTTTGATTAGAAATATTCCATCCAATAAGAAATTCTTCTGTGAATAAATCATGTTTTGGCTTTTGTGATGTGGTTAATGTAGCCAATTTAATGAATAAATTTTGTCTAAAACCGAAAAATTCAAAAATACAATAATTGTGATGGAAGTTAGATAACAAGTAAATTCAATATTTACGAATTAACATTTGACTATTTAACATTTTATGCAATCTAAGCTATATGAATTATGCCGTTAAAAACAGCTATGGTTAATAATATGTATATCATATATTGTCTAAATGGTATTTTATTTAAGGTAAAGCCGAGTAAATACTTTATTACTGGTAATAATTCCAAATTGTAATTGATTTATACTGTAGCTGCTAATGAATATCAATGAGAACTAGGTAATCCAAGATCCTGTCTCGTGGGATTCGAACCCAGGACCTATCAGTCCCACGCACGAGCGCTTAACTATTAGACCATTGAGCTAGAATACAACAGTATTAATGTCTGACTTCAACTAACCCACGAAACTGAGCCACACATCCACCTTCGTCTTCGTGGACGCGCACTGCTGAGGAGTTCCGGAGTAGAACGAAACGGCTGTCTAGTGCTACCAGGTTTTCCATGGTGGTTTAGCTTCAATTGACTCATGATCTGATCATAATTATATGCTTATGGTAGTATTTATATCTAAAAACCTAATGAAGGTCAACCAAATGAAAGTGACGACTAGAAATAAAGGGAAGGAGAAAATCTTATGAACTGAAAAAACAAGTTATCACACCCTGAAAATTCAAATTCATTAATGATTTCCAGAACAGAACCGAGGTTAGAACAATTCATTTTTGTACACTTAATTAAGGATTGAGTCTTTTTGTAATTAGGATTTTTATACTTGAATTTGCTATTCACAATTTTTAAACAGTTTTTCAAAAGTCAACCCAATGACTATATAATTGTGTATTTTATTATCAAGGAGCATGATTAATTGCTCCCTATGCTTAATAGGTCATTTGGGAGTAACCGATTATTAACTGATTTTAGCATATATTCTATTATTTTGATTGTTTAATCTGATAAGTCCTTCTTATATGTATCCACACACATGTTAAAAAAGACACTAGTACTAATTAATTTTGATTTCAAACATTTGTGAAATTATATTAGAAGCATAATTACTACTACCTTTCGCAAAATTTACATGTTTATAGGTGCAAATTTATTAAGTTGATCAACACATTGTCTTTGATTTCAAACAAAATAAATATTTTATAAGGCTCAGTTACATCAAAATCTTCAAATCAACTTCACCTTCTCAATGCACTATTGAACTTACTAGTAAGTTTGTAATTGTTTTCTAATTATATCAATTACGATATATCATGAATACACTATACTCATCATCGCTTGTGGTTTGGTATATGACGAAATCTCAGCACGGATACAGGAGGCTCAACTAGCTTTTGCCAACTTGCGTCATTTATGGAGTAGGAGAGATATCCGTTTACCAAACAAAAGACGAGTTTACTGTGCAGCTGTTCGTTCAGTCCTACTTTATGACAGTGAAACATGACCGGTAAGAGTAGAGGATATTTGTAGGTTACTAGTATTCGATTATAGGTATTTTCGAGACATTGCTCGTATATCCTGGGACCACGGAGTAAGTAATGCAGTTGTTAGGAAACGGGTACTAGGTTAGGATGGAAAATCAATTGATGAAGTAGTGAAACTTCATCAGTTGAGATGGCTGGGACACGTGTTACGTATGCCCAACTACCGACTGCCCCGATGTACGATTTTTTATGGTGTGGGGGTAGATTTGAAGAAAGCTAGGGGCGGCTAGACCAAAACATGGCACAAATCCATGAAGTCACCGACAAGTGAACTGAGTCATGCTGGTAGGTGTAGACTACCTGGTTGGGATCCGCGAGACGATAGCAACCAATAGTTAGAGACCTTGAATGATATGGCTCAAAATCGTTTGCAATGGCGCAGGTGCATTCACCCTTTGTGTTCTCCCAAATTTTAATCTTCTGAATTTTTCATGTCCCTTATTTTTTCTCCTTCCAAATTTATTTCACTGGATTATGCTCCTTGACTAACATCTTCAAACCCTAATGTTTCCTGTTACTGCTTATGCTTTCACTACCTCTACCACTATAAGAATTCAATCGATAATTGTACTTCTGTGATAATGTGGTATGATAAATCAAACTGATCTACGTACATACGAAGTTCTACTTTGTTACTGACTGACTGAAAATACAATTAGACTTCAGAAAACACTTCTCAATCTAATTACTGCTTCTCTTAATACGATTTTTTCATAAGCTTTTATGACATTTTAAACATTACCTAACTTAGTAGATACAAATTTTCTTACTTATTTAAGTACTTCTGATACAGACTAGTTCAAAACGTTTCGAGAGTCATAACTTTTCGTCACATCAGCGACTGTAGAACAGATTAAAAACTAGATATTTTTAGATTCCTAATGTATTTTTCCAACATCCGGAGAATGTTTCGTAACTACTTAAGGAACGAACATTGTTTTGTCAGTTACATTTGTAAAATAAACGTTTACGCGACATATAGTAAATTTATCGTTGTTTTAACTTTATCTTCAACATTAACATTATACATTTTAATGAATGCTTAAGAACTAAAATACCGAAAGATAAATTGTACTAAGAGATTTTCAAAAAAACTTATTACTGACTTACGTTTGGTTGACATTCTTATCATTTGATGTTGTTACATCGACCTGATGTAAAAAAAGTTCCAATACCTCTTGACAATGCTGTAACACTTCTGAATTCGGATGTTCACTACATTCTCTAATGGTGAAAGTAATTTCAATAGTAATACTTTTTGCTTCGTTGACATAAACTAGTGGACTGTACAACCAATTATCATTGTGTTCTTGAGCTATCTGACACACACCATAAATTTTCCTTTGTAAAATTGGGTGAGTTTGTTGACGCCACTAAAACATAACAAATTAATACGTTAAAGTAGAACAAAATAAACGTTAAAATTCTATCACAGTATGGCATTAAAAGAATGAAAACGCTTAATACATAGAAAGAAAGTAATAAACTTCACTGTTTATCCTTGTTTATTCCATTAATTTGTCTGATCACTCATATTTTTATTCAACGAGACCAACAGAAGTTCCGTAATGGTAGACATTAATATATATGTTATGGACAGAAGCAAGACAGATAGAGATAAGAAATCGATTGTATTTAGTTTTGGTTCTGCAGTGAGCTACTGAACAAACCCGTGTTCTCGAGCTTATAGTTCTTCTATTTAATGTTCTATTCAATGTTTATTTTAAATGTTAAATCTGGAATGATGACGAGCGAAATTCGTTCGGAGAATGGCTATAGAATAATTAGAATAATTCGAGTATGTTTTCATATAAGTGGAAGAACTTATTAAAATGTATGGAAAAACGCTTCCATTCCAGGCATTATAAGATTTAACTGACTGTACAAGTCGTCTTATGCCTCTATAGATTATGTACAATTCACAGCTTACAATAAAGACTTACATAGACATAATATTACAGCAGCTCTTGTTTAAAGAGATAAAAGTTACTTCTTATTTCAAAGTTCAGCTTTTTGGATGAACGTTGTTAATTGCTTGACATGACGTTTCAAAGTACATCTTGAAAAATACTTCACCTTTATATTAAAATATAGTTCTGTCTCTACAATGATTAGTTGTATTAGTGCAAAAATTAACCAAATTCTATCAACTTACTAAATACTCTCATTTCTGTTAGTTTGTTTAAATTGTTCATGACATAAATTAAAGTAAACCTTGCATTTCCTTTACTTGATTGTAAGTATTTTCATTCAAAGATTATATCAGAATAGAAAACTTATTAGCTTTATCACTTTAGTTTGGTTACACAGTTTAACATGATCTTTATGCAAACAGTTCTGTTGTATTGTAATGATTTAAATTAATTTTTCAGAATGGGTTTTGTGGAGATTTTAAAAATTTCACTGGTTGAAATCATCAGTCAATTGAAGCTAGACCACCATGAAAAACCTGGAAGCACTGGACGGCCGTTTCGTCCTAGTACGGGACTCCTCAGCCGTGCGCATCCACGATCCCGCCTCCCGCGAGATTCGAACCAAGGACCTATCAGTCTCTCGCTAGGCGCTTAACCAACTAGACCACTGAGTCGGCGTCCAACGGTGTTAATGTCTAACTTTAACCAGTCCACGAAGTTGCGCCACCCTACACCATTGTCTTCAGTGAGTTCTTATCTCACAACAGACCTGGTTGAATTCCACTGATAACGGCTTCTCATTAGAACTCCAGGATTATCTAATGAAGTCAGTCACTAGTGAACAGGTGATTATTATTAATTAATTTAGTTGTTTATTTATATTTTAGTTAATTGTTACTAACTAATTGATACAGATATAATTGAAAATCACTATGGAGTACTATAAGCCAATAGAAGTATTTTTCTCATACATTTTTTAACAAAATAAAAAAAAAATTACATCACAAGTATCTCAAGGAAAACACCTAAAAGATGAAAATTTGGTTTGTTTGTTTTTTTTACCAAAAAACATTGTAGTAGAGAAACAATTAGACGTTTATCAATGAATTATGTAGTTCCATAGACTATGAGTTCGTTAAAAATAAATAGAATTTTAATTATCATTGAAAACAAATCAAAATCAAAATGTTTAGTCTAATTAACTTACATGTTAAGAGATAAAATATTGAATAAAAGTGTATAATTACGTTTGTAATTTCTTTCTGAAAGTTTGATTTGAATTAAGTTTTAAAATAACACGTTTGTTAATTACAATGTCTAAGGAGTAACATTGTTTTGAATTTCTTTTAGTTCAAAATATTTACAACCATTGGATGAAAAGCTTTAAACTTGGCTACCATGATATTTAGTTCCTTTCAATCAGATTTGTTTTGATTATGATCATGAACCAATTGATGTTAGACCACTAGTGAAAACCTGGAAACACTGGACGGCCGTTTCGTCCTATTGTGGGACTCCTCAGCAGTGCGGATCCACGATCCCATTCGTGGGATTTGAACCCAGGGCCTTCAGTCTTACGAGCGAGTGGTGGTGGTCTAACATCAATCGGTTCATGATCTTAATCAAAAACTTAGTAATTACCACAACCTTTATACAGATTTATTATTTTTTGAACAATAAAAATCATGATTGTATTCAAAAAGCTTGGTGAACTTTGATGACAAAAACAATTCATTATAAATTATATGCTTATAGTTTCTGTCGAATAACTTTAAATATGTTGCATCAGATAATTAATGTAACACTGGCAAAATATGACTCCAATTAATCTGTCCTCCAGAGAAGCAATTCAATTTATTCATTTACACAAATTACCAGAGTGGCTATTTTGATTTCAACGTTATAAATACCTAACTTTATTTATTATGATCTATATATGCCCCTAGAGATTATCACCCTGGATGCGTGAATAAGCTCAAATTGTTTTGTAAAAATAGCATCCTATTTGCTCATATGAAAATAAGCTTATTGAAATACACATGACGTGCTTATTTTAATATTCTCTCTAGTGGATTAAAGATATTACGTTAATATTTTCAGAATACATGTGATATTTAAATAATGGTGTGAAACCATTATAGACAATAAAGCAAACTATTTACACTGGACTACCTAGTGTAACAAATGACTGAATAATATGATATGTTTTAACAGTTTTCTGTTGTCATCTTAAGCAATCAGATAAGTTTTAGTGAACGAAGAATGTCCTGTGCTTCACAATATATACTTATATTGCGTTTTACACTGTCTTAATATAACATATTTTACTCACACGGTTAGTGGATATTTCATTGAAATATAAAACATACTTCAACCAATTCATAGCGTACTATGAACACTATCCAGTGAAATGAACAATAAATTTAACTTACTCCTTCATATTTCCCAGTATTTCTTGTCCAGTTACTCCAATCTGTGACGTCTGTATCAAGTAGGATAACTGAAATGATAATAAAAGATATTTATCAGTTTAAGGCATATCATTTTTTTATATAAACAAGAGTAAATGGATAGACTTTAAAAATTGAAATAGCATAAACTAATTTTGATAATTATCTTAAAATTATCCATTGTAACTTCATTAATTAACTTGAGAAAAGCCCGAAATTTCTGTTTCATATTCAATAATGAAAAACATTTAAGGAGTTTATAAACAAATGAAATCAAACAATAATGTATTACAAATTACATCATTCAGTTAGAAAGTCTTTATTTAACATCATAAATCAAGTAATTATCTAATTGGAAACGTAATTACGAGTAAAATAAAAATAACTTATCCCGCTTTATAATAGTTGTAGATTTATGAAATCAGTAGTTAACTCAAAGCATTTACCATAGTTTTTACTCTCATTTTGAAAGTACTGTAGATATGATGATGATCTCACTGTATGTATGCCTATATCTTCCTCTTTACATCCCATAGAAATGAATGAGTTTTTGTCTCGTATTGATTGTTGGTCTGTTGGTAATGGTCTCATACTTAATCCGTCTAAATGTCAAGCTGTTAACTTTAGCATGAGACATGAACGGAATATAAACACTTTTTTTGAGATCCCATAATGCTTGTGCCATCGGAGACTCTTTGATAAACTCAGTGTCGAAGGTCAATTATCTTGGTGTCACCTTTTCCTCTGATCTGTCTTGGTCTTCCCACGTTTTACCGTTATCGAAGAAGGTTTTCCGTCTGACCTACTACATAAAAAGATTGCATGCTCTTGGGATTACTCGTCATTTACTCTTACAATTTGTCAGTTCTTGCATTTTACCTATTATTCTTTACTGTTCTCCATTATTCTTTCCCGGGCTTTTCAGAAAAGACTTTGCCGTATTGCGGAGAGTGCTGAAAGCAGTTAACAAGATGTGTGGTGAATCTTTCAAGGTCATAATTAATATGGTTGTCGATAGACATTTAAAATCATACAAACTCCCCTTCACTCTTATCTTTCTCCTTGTATATCTTCTGGTAGAACGAGACGTAATTACATTAAAATCCATGCACGTAAGGAAAAGTATAAAAGTTCTATAATACCTTACCTAGCAAATATACTCTGTGACGAACAGGTTGTTAGAGTTAACCTAGTCAATAACTTACATTCTTAACATATCTTTAATTTTAAAAAGTTTGCACAGTTTTTTGGTTTTTTTTTAAAAAAATTTAAAAAAAAAACTTTTTTCTATTTCTTTTTGTATTTGCTACTGCCTTTTTGTTCGTTTTTCAGTAAGTAACTTGTTGAAATACCCTGTGCTGAGAATTCTATATTGTACCAAAATATAATACTGAATAAAGCCATTAATAATAATAATAATAATATTGATTTTCGAAGACATTACATTCAGAATTATTGATGAATTTTTTTATAATGCCAATCATAATATTTTCCTTCGAGTTTGACCTAATTACAAATACAAGGTTAGAAACAAAATTCACATCTATGTTAACTTAGCTTTGAATTTTGTTTCACTAGGTTATGATTTTGCTATTATTACTATAATTATTATTATACAGTGGAACGCCTCATATTATAGTTGAATTGAATAGTGAAAATAATTGATGTATTTTAAAGTCCTTATAAACAATAATAGTAACATTTGAATAAAGCCATTCTCACTGATTATTTTCTCTTATAATATATTTCGGTTAATAAAGAAAGATGGATAGGGGCTAGCAGTGGAATACAGGACGTGTGTTTCGCCTTAATTGAAACTCGTTAGCTGGACGTACCTGCATCCCAAAGTTGATGTTCACTCTGAGACTCAAACCCAGTATTTTTCGCTTCAAACGTCATCGGGTTATTTACTTAACTACTGAGCCATGATAGCCATTTGCTTGTGCAATGAGGTGAAGTTTAAATTAAGTTTGCAGTGTTTCTTTGAATCTTCGTTTATCACAATTCATTTCCATCAAAACTTTTATTTGTTTGTGAATGGTATTTGCTTCTAAGTATCCTTTTCTATAAACTTTCAATTTTTAATCATTGTAACTGGAAGGGAATTTTTTATTCACATGCTTATATTAATTCGTCTGTCTAGAGATCTTACTGAACTTTCGTTATGTTTACTACTCTTTCAATATTTTCGTTGTACTGATAGCTGAAATCCATGAATTACTTGTTTTAGTCTTAATTAAATTATTGTATTCGATTGTGTACCATTTTTGATTATCATAGAATAAAAGTAACATTTCTAAAAGAAACCGTTCTTAAGACCTATAAAAATCAGATTCTTTGTAAACGCATTTACGTTTGATTAAATAATAATTATATGCCCATATAGCCAATTCTATATCAAGTTTTTCTTTAGATCGAATAAAGTGTTAAGCTTGAAACATCTGGTTTCAATAAAGTAAAAATTATTTTCCACTTTAACTGTGAAGAGTTGGCGATGATTTCAAAGAGCATCGTTTTTTGTTAGAATTATCTGGTGAAAGCGGATTCTTTTTTTTTCCACTGAAGCTTCTATATTATTGACATAAAACTTATACATGTTGGTTACATTTCTGTTATAGCTTTCCAATTGAACTACTAAGGATTATTAAAATAAGATGAAAGTAGATGTCTAATTCTCTTTAATTATCCATAGCTTTGCATTTAGTGTAACACAGTATTTAAAATTGATTACTTTTTGTAACAGGTGAATAGTTAATATGAACAAAAGAATAAAATAGTGAAAATGGATGATAGCAGAGTAGATATTCTTCTCTAATGCGAAAATCAGCTATTATTTATATGTTTCATTTATAAACAGATCCATTACATAGAAAATGCTGATTGCTTCTTTCAAATCTTTTTATCAAATCATTAATATTAATATGATGCGATATTTATAAGGATGTATAAATTAAATATTTATGTTTTATGTATATGTATATATGTCATAAATATAAGAGATATACATCTTTCTTACTCAAACACTTTAAACCTAATAGCAGTTTGTTTTTTAAAACATTAATATTATCATTAAGTAGTTGGAACTGTTTTGGGGTATTAATCTTATGTGATTTCATAAATCAACACTTTATTCGATAGCTAGACACAAAATATATAAACTCTTAGGTAGTAGACAGAATAATATAGTCATGACTTTAAAATGTTCTATGGTTTAATAATATAAACTGTTTACAATATTGAAATAACATATGAATATTTGTACGCCGAAGAAAAATGAACAATTTTTAAGCCAATGTATGACATGAGTAGTGAAACGATAAATTCTACATACAACTTTATATTATGGGCAAAGATGAATGGTGACTAGCAGTGGAATATAGGACACGTATTTTGCCCTATTTGAGAATCGTCGGCTGGACGTACTTGAATCTTCCGATTGATGTTTAGGACTGTAATTCATCAATATTTTATTGGCATATGTGCATCATGTGTAGATTGCCTCGATATTGTCCTAAGTCACAAGCATTATAAGCAAAGATGGATGGTGGCGTGCATTGGAATCCAGATTCAAACAAACAATACAAAATGAATTCAAACTTCAAGCAGGTGGCTATCAGGATGCAATAACTAAGTGGATAATGCGATGACGCTTAAAGTGAACGATACAGAGTGCGAGTCTCGGGGTGATCATCAACTTTGGGATGCAGGTACATCTATCCAACGAGCTCTAAATAGGGCGGAACACGCGTCCTTCCTTCCACTGCCAGTCACCATCCGTCTTTGCTTACAATGCTTGCGAATTAAGACAATATGAGACTGATTAAATGAAATCGTAAGCATCAAAAGAAAGATCCAAGCAAAGTGAATTTAACTGCGCATTAGTTTAATTTGATATTTCCTAGATCAAACTTTTGACAACTATATATTCTACCTGGCATACTTCTAATTTATTATATTAATGATAGAAAATGTTAAACATAATTTTGCCTAACGTCAGTTAATAAATAAGTTTTATCAAAATAAGTCACTGTAATATAAAAACTAACTAAAAATCACTAAAACGATCTTTCCACAAATCATTTACAACTTTCTTGTCAATCACTTGATCATTGTACATTACAGTTGAATCATTCTCAAAGCACATTTGTGTAACATTCGGTCTTAGATTAAACATTATTCGAAATGTTTAATAAAGAAACTAATAAATTACTACGACAAGAATATCATCAAATTATGTCATTTTTTTGCAATAATTTAATTAACATTTCAAAAACAAATTTTTATTGCTACTTAAATAACTACTTAATATTCGGATTCATTTCAAGTCAGCTTCAAAATAATCAATTCATCCAGCTTATTTGAATATAGGCTTTACCAGGTAAAATGAATGCCTTATTAAATAATATAGGATATCTTCATTTGATTTATACTTTTTGAGAGGATTAATTCTATTATGTATACATAAAGCATACAAACATTCGAACCTGGATATATATATATATATATATATATATATATATATATATATATATATATATATATATATATATATAATTTATTCATATACTAACTGTAAGAATAAAAGTTTTACATAATGAAGCTTTACATTCTCTTTGATCGTTGATTTAACACAAATCAGTGATAGAGAATAAATTAATAACAACAATGGAAACAAGAATAAATGATAAAGATGAAAATGTTTAATCTACTTAAGGAAAATTAGAGAGTTTTGTCACTTCACAGAGATAATAATAATAATTTATCCTCCTAAAAACATTTCTGTGTATATATAGATATTTGTTTTGTATTTGTTCTGATAGCACTTGAAAGTAGAGGATCGATTAACAAGCAAGCATTTCATTGTTCATTTTATTTTATTAATTGAAGGACAGACTCAATGAATTATGAAAGTTATATGAAAATTCAAAGAGATTTTATAATTCGAATGTGTAATGGGAACCGAAAAGCATCGGTACATGCAATCATTTTCTTCAGCCGCTATAAGATTTCAAACTATATCTTACCTTAGAAACTGAAACTATTGATAAGT